AAGTGGGAGCTCCTTATAAATCAAACCAGGTTTACAGATCTAGGACTTCAAGTGCAAAGCTCTTAACAATAGCTATCATCGTCAGATACACGCCATACTAGGGAGCTCTGGGAGCCACCAGAATGACCAAGACAAGCAGTCCTTCCCCACAGTGGCTGGCATTTTATGAACTATGCCATTATCAGTGCCCTAGGTCCAGTGACACTTACATGCCTTTCATATTGTGATCTCCCTCTGTTTCCAACTCTACTCTCCTGTTACCTATTACATAGACACATAGAAGGCTGAATAAAACACATCTAAAAGTATTCCAGCCACTTCACACAGTGCAGACGGATGAATTCCCACTGCAAGCTATTGAACTCACGGCTTTCAGAATACCTTACCAGTGACTACATGTGATTGGCTGCAGTCACTCTTCATCCAAACATTTTCTACCTGTCCCCTTCAATCTTCAGATCAAAATTTGATGAGCCAGGTGGTGCTGTAAGGGCCCCTCCAGATTGAATTTTGGCCAGTTCAGCAGGAAATTACTGAAATTTGACTGATGTGTGGCTGGCTTTAAAAGAGGAAGGGCTCACTAACATGTGAAATCCACAACATAAGACACCGGCTTATCTGACATCTGGCAGCCATCAGCTGACCAGTACATCAGTACATCACACTTCTGGTCAAATCATTTAATCAAAAATATTGCTGTGAGTTTTTCAGAAGTGTTCATTGGTCCTCAGTTAATAATTATGAAAGTTTAATAATATACTGCAGAATTTTTTGTTACTTTTTGTAACTTTTATGGCTCAAGAAAGAACTTGATTTCACAACTTTGTATGAAAGAGATGCATTCATGTACTTTTCCTGCAGGGAAAGAGCAGTTAATTTGAAAGATACTTCAATACCAAACACCATCAGGGGTTAAATTGAATGTTTCCTTTGCTCATTCAGAGCAACATATAGGGTTCACTTAGCTCCCCAACCTCCCCAGCACATACAGTACTTACCTTTCCTTGCTTCCCCCCGCTGCTCGATTCTGCTGTTTAGACCAGGTAGAAAGAGGCCATTGCAAACTCCATACCAATTTGTTGGAGATTACACAAGGCTATGGACTCCTTCCTTGACTTCAGTTGATATATATGGGCCACTCATGATGCCCCAGTGCTATTACATGAGCGAAAGGGAGTGACTCCCATGCTCCCCCAACTCAGAAGTGTTCAGTATTTCTCTGTGCTTCCAGAGCATTGGGGGAGTGAAAACAGTTTTATGCAGCTGGGTATAGGGAGACAAGTGAACCTTTTGTCCTGTCCTGCATGGGTAACTTTACAGCATAATGCCAAAAATGACCTTGCATAGGGACCCACCTGTACAGTTAAACACTCATTTAGCCTAGAGGTAGGGTAATAAACAGTAATACTTTATTCCCCACTCCCCTGGTGTTCTCAAGTGCTCCTGGGATGAAGGAAGGCCCTTGCCATCCTTACGCGCAAAGTAGGATTGCTGCTCCTGCATTATGTGTGATGACAATGAAAGTCTGTGATTAATCAAGAAAAGCAAAAATAAGTGAGCGCTTGAATGGATATAATAATGAACAGCAGCTGTACACCAAAAAAGGCACCGTATCAAACCTTCAAAAACATAAATGTAAAAAAGGGGGGTGCAGCGCTATATAACCTAGCAAATAGTAATAAATCAAACAAATGATAAACAATGATAATAAACAGTGACTGTGTGTTAATAAAGCCACTGAATGGTGGCTATGAAGTGAGGGAAGTGAAACAGTCCAATGGAGGAGTGCTCTTAAGATCCAGGATGATCCTCAGACGTCCAATATTAGGAACCGTCAGGTGATAAAAAATTTAAAGATTGCGCACTCACCAGATACGCAATCTTTATGCGCATTTGTGTATAATATCACTGGACCTCCTGTGTCATCATCCTGGTCTGGTCAGATCTGGTCAGCATATCCTTCATTGCCTGGTACCCGGATAGATGCAGCTATTCCATGGATCTGGCTGGTTCCCACCAGAACTCAAATAAATAGAAAGGGCCACATAGTGTGATATCCTTAGGTATCTTTATTATAGGCACAGGATAGCAGGAAATCCAATAGTACTGACCCAGATGCAAATCAAAGATGGCCGCCGGGGCCCCTCGTGGCGCCGGCGGTGAGGCGTCCAACCTGCTGTAGCTTTCCCTCAGGGAAAGTCGGGCGTGGGAGGTGGAGACCAGGGAGCTAGAAAGTAGGAGGTCTTGTGAGGAGCGAAGATTACGGGTAGGGTGGTATTGGGGTATCAGGTCAGTGAGGTAGTTTGGGGCAGCATTATGAATGGCTTTGTATCTCTGTGTTAGTAGTTTGAATTTAATGCGTTGGGCAATCGGGAGCCAGTGGAGGGAATGACAGAGGGGGGTGGCAGAAGCGGAGCAGTTGGTAAGGTGGATGAGTCTGGCCGCTGAGTTCAGGATAGACTGAAGCAGGGATAGTCTGCGATGAGGTAGGCCGGTGAGAAGGGAGTTGCAGTAGTCCAGACGTGAGATAATAAGGGAGTGAACGAGTTGTTTAGTAGTGTCTGGGGTTAGGAACAAACGTATTTTGGAGATGTTGCGGAGGTGGAGCCTGCATGAGTTTTTCCAACGATTGGACATGGGGTTGGAAGGACAGGTCTGAGTCTAGAGTGACACTTAGGACTTTAGCTTGTGCGGTGGGACTGATGGTGGAGTTGTTGGTCGTGATGGAGAGGGTGGGGGGGAAAATCAGGAGCTCGATTTTGGAAAGCTTCAATTTGAGGAAATGGAGCGACATCCAGTCTGCTATGTTGTTCAGTAGGTGGGTGATACGGGCGGAGACTAAAGGGGTGAGGCAAGGGGTGGAGAGGTAAATTTGCGTGACATCAGCGTAGAGGTGATAGTTGAAGCCGTGGGAGTGTATCAGTTTGCCAAGGGAGGAGGAGTAGATGGAGAAGAGAAGGGGCCCGAGCCTTGGGGGACCCCAACAGAGAGGGGGAGGTGGTAGCGTTATAGGTAACGCTGAAGGAGCGTTGGGATAGATAGGAGGAGAGCCAGGAGAGAGCGGAGTCTCTTATGCCAAGGGAGTGTAGTTTATTAAGGAGGAGGGGGTGGTCGACTGTGTTGAAGGCCGTGGAAAGGACGAGGAGTAAGAGGACTGAGTAGTGGCCATTAGCTTTGGCGGTTAGCAGGTCATTAGTGATTTTGAGTAGGGCGGTTTTGGTGGAGTGTAGGGGACGGAAGCCAGACTGTAGTGGATCGAGGAGGTTGTTGTCAGTGAGGTGGAATAGGCTAAGTATTACAGTGTATTCATCTCCCCCTAGGCCAGGGGTCTGCAACCTTTAAGACATAAAGAGCCACTTGGACCCATTTCCGAGAGGGAAAAAAAGACTGGGAGCCGCAAAACCATTGCAACATTTAAAACAAATCCGACACTGCATATATTGCAAAAAACGCTCTGGTCATGAAGGGGGTTTAAGGGCCCAGTAAGCAAAGGGTTAATCAGGGCCACAGTGTATAGTCATAATCACAATCATAGCCTTAGGTCAGTGGTGGGCAACCTTTTTTTTCGACTGAGCCAAATCTCGCCAAAACCACGATTGAAATTTATTTTGAGAGAAACATTTTTAAAACTGAAAATACATCCCCCATATAGTAATTCATCCCCCATATAGTAATTCATCCCCCATAGTAATTCATCCCCCATAGTAATTCATCCCCCATATAGTAATTCATCCCCCATAGTAATTCATCCCCCCTATAGTAATTCATCCCCCCTATAGTAATTCATCCCCCATATAGTAATTCATCCCCCATATAGTAATTCATCCCCCATAGTAATTCATCCCCCCTATAGTAATTCATCCCCCCTATAGTAATTCATCCCCCCTATAGTAATTCATCCCCCCTATAGTAATTCATCCCCCTATAGTAATTCATCCCCCCTATAGTAATTCATCCCCCCCTATAGTAATTCATCCCCCCTATAGTAATTCATCCCCCATAGTAATTCATCCCCCATAGTAATTCATCCCCCATAGTAATTCATCCCCCATATAGTAATTCATCCCTCATATAGTAATTCATCCCTCATATAGTAATTCATCTCCCCTGTAGTAATTCATCCCCCCTGTAGTAATTCATCCCCCCTGTAGTAATTCATCCCCCCTGTAGTAATTCATCCCCCCTATAGTAATTCATCCCCCCTATAGTAATTCATCCCCCATAGTAATTCATTCCCCATATTGTGTGAATTCACTTACCTTTGCTCCGCGCGTTCCTCTCGCTGGGTTCCCGCGCCGTTCTGGTCTTCAGGGCGGACTGTGAGAGGAGAGGAGTTCGTTACGCTGCCCCGCCTACATCCGGGCTGCCCCGCCTACATCCTGACAGCCAATGTTTGCCAGCGGGCGCCCGGCACACAGAAGATCTACATTAAAAGAGCCGCGGCTTGCCGACCCTATTGCCTGTCACCTGGTGGGCAGTGTGCTCCGGAGCCGCAGGAAAGGTGAAAAAGAGCCGCATGCGGCTCCGGAGCCGCGGGTTGCCGACACCCGCCCTAGGCATTCAACCCTTGTAATGCAGGAGGAGGGGGCACTACAAGGATAATTTATACTGCTGCCTGGTGTGGGTCCAAAAGTGTTTATTAGCCCCATGTGCACATACATTAATATATACGTAGCATATGGTATCGTTAAAAATCAAGGTCACTATATTTATGTATTGGAAGGCTACAATACCTTTTTAGGAAGGGAAATACCTTTTTTTGTTAGTTTTAGAGTTGGTCACATAATCCTTTTTCACTTTTTCAATAAGTGTGTAAGCAATATGTGGGTTAAGCATTGGTGGTCAGGTGAGGAAAAATTAATAAATGTCTATATGTAGATAGCATTATGTAAATTCACACATACAAGCAATGGTTGCTTACATTTATAGACGTGGACATTCATTATGTGAAGAAAATCTTTGTAGTCTTCTGAATACATTTTTTATTTTTTTTTTCACAGCTGGTGTAATTCCTCCAGATGCCATTCTACACTTTGATGTCCTTTTGTTAGATATCTGGAATCCTGAGGACAAAGTCCAAACACAGTCTTACTACAAACCTGAAAATTGTTCTCGCACAGTACAAGTCTCAGATTTCATTCGTTACCATTACAATGGGACATTATTGGACGGGACACTTTTTGATTCTAGGTATGTATTTTTAAATAAAAATCAAAATTAAGAAAACAAAACAGAAATTTATATATAATATAAGTGAAAAAATGGTGTGTTACATATACAAAAATACAAAATTCTTATAGAAAAAATAAAAGCCAAAAACACAGACTAGTGAAGTATACAGAAAAACAGAGATGTGACTCAAACAAATAATAATTAAATAATAGTTGAATAATTAAAACAAAGTCCAATCAATTAAATGTTCTTCTCTGAACCCTCCTTAAGATAACGACCACCGTGTGCAGCTGTCACAGAACTCCAGTGCAAAACATCCTCCACCTGAAATCTGCTCACCTCCAGCAGTGTGACCTCAAATTTTACAATATTTTGGTCTAACCGCACTTTTGGTCCCAAATATATGGACTCTGTAGATCAAGTTGCTGAATAATGGCTCCCAGGATTCCCCCTCCAGATAACTGCCTTAATGTTAGCTGTATTCCTCATAAACGAAAGCTCAACATAGTGCTTTATCCTTTAAAAACTTTTATTGCACAATAAACATAAGAAATGCACTCACATTCAGTAGATGCATATCTGTACCAGGTATGATGAACATCCAGTAATGTACTAGTTATGCACAGGATGCCAGTATCATCCCCAGCAGCATAGACCCATCAAGGCTCCAAAATGTCACTGCGCTGTGTAATGCGAGGGTTATGCTGCTGGGGATGATACTGGCATCTTGTGCATAATTAGTACATTACTGGATGTTCATCATACCTGGTGCGGTTATGCATCTACTGAATGTGAGTGCATTTCTTATGTTTATTGTGCAATAAAAGTTTTTAACCGCCTTCTGCCCGCCATATAGTAATATGATGGACACAAGGCGGTTCTCTCGTTCTGGCTCAGGGAGCGCGCAGCGTGGTGATCGGCGGTGCGCTGTGTCCCTCGTACACAGCGGATCACCGATCCACGGATAGAGCCGAAGATGTCGGCTTGATCATGTGATCAGCTGTGTCCAATCACATGTAATCACATGTAAACAGGGAAATGCCGGTTATCGGCATTTCTCTCCTCACGAGCTGTCGCGCTTACAGCTCGTAAGGAGAGGAGAGCCGGTAATCGGCATTCCTCGGAGGGGACATCTACACAGATCATCAGAGCACTGATGATCAGTGTGCCCTGATGATCTGTGTAGCCCCAGCAGTGCCACCTGTCAGTGTCCATCAGTGCCAGCTCTGTGCTCATCCATGCCACCTGCCAGTGCCCATCAGTGCCACATTTCAGTGCCACATATCAGTGCCCATCTGAGCTGCCTTTCAGTGTCACCCATCAGTGCCAGTCAGTGCCACCTATCAATGCCAGTCAGTGCTGCCAATCAGTGCCACCTATCACTGCCAGTCAGTGCCGCCTATCAATGCCAGTCAGTGCTGCCTATCAGTGTGCATCAGTGCTGCCTATCAGTGCCGCCTAACAGTGCCAGTCAGTGCCGCCTAACAGTGCCAGTCAGTGCCACCTATCAGTGCCATATATGAGTGCTGCCTTTCAGTGCCCATCAGTGATGCCTGTCAATGCCTTTCAGTGCCACCTACCAGTGCCTCCTCATCAGTGCCCATCAGTACCACCTATCAGTGTCCATCAGTGCAGCCTATCAGTGCCCATCAGTGCAGCCTCATTAGCGCACATCAGTGAAGGAGAAAAATCACTTATTTACAAAATTTTATAACAAAAACTAAAATTTTCAGTGGTTTTTGGTTTGTTTAAGAAAAAATAAAAAACGCAGAGGTGAATAAATACCACCAAAATATAGCTCTATCTGTCACAAAAAAAATGATAAAAATGTCATATGGGTACAGTGTTGCATGACCGCACAATTGTCATTCAAAGTGTGACAGCGATGAAAGCTGGAAATTGGCCTGGGCAGGAAGGGGGTATAAAGGATAAAGCACTATGTTGAGCTTTTGTTTTTGAGGAATACGGCTGACATTAAGGCGGTTATCTGGAGGGGGCATACTGGGAGCCATTATTCAGCAAGTTGATCTACAGAGTCCATATATTTGGGACCAAAAGTGCAGTTAGACTAAAACATTGTAATATGTGAGGTCACAACGCTGGAGGTGAGCAGATTTATGTTAGAGGATGTTTTGCACTGGAGTTCTGTGACAGCTGCACATGGTGGTCGTTATCTCAAGGAGGATTAACAGAAGAACATTTAATTGATTGGACTTTGTTTTAATTATTCAATTATTTTTAATTATTATTAGTTTGCGTCACATCACAGTTTTTTGTTTTTCTGTATATTTCACTGGTCTGTGTTTTTGGTTTTTCCATAGGAATTTTGTATGTGTAGCGCAGCATTTTTTTTACTTATAATATTTATCATTTAGCCCACTGAGACATGGGTTGTGTGCACTAGCGGCTACAGCATTTTCATTTCACTTATCAAACATATTTATTTATATTTTTGTATTCACCACAGTAAGTGCTTGAGTTTTTATTTAGAAATTTTATATAGAAAGCATACAGATATACAAAAATACTATTCCAATACAGTGAGAAATCTCAAAAGTCCCCACAAATAATATAGGTCTTGTAAACTATTAATCTCTGTTGTCATCACCTCTTTTGGCATGCATATTACATCTCCTTATGTGTGAAATAAATGCCGCCTTCTTAGTGATGCACCCCATCATTCACACTCCATCACCATCTGAAAAGCAACTTACCAAACTGTTGCCTCTCTTGTCACAAAAAGTGTAAAGCTTTTTAGTGGTATGATACTTACAGAACCAACATGTAAGTCTTATGTTTTAGTACTTCCAGTTGTAAGTACACTCCTCAATGTAGTGCACAATAACACAAAAAAAAGTATGCCCATAGTATAATTCCGTTTATTAAAAAGCCTCAGTAAAATAGCAGTATAAAGCTCACATTATAAATGTGCAGACAGGATATCTACCAGCTTGAAAGTATAAATCCCTGGTGCAATTGGTCCACAGATGCCTGGAGACCTACAATAAGCCAAATTTCTCTTGGCTGGGCCACATAAACTTAAACTACTATATACAGTCAGGTCCATAAATATTGGGACATCGACACAATTCTAACATTTTTGGCTCTATACACCACCACAATGGATTTGAAATGAAACAAACAAGATGTGCTTTAACTGCAGACTGTCAGCTTTAATTTGAGGGTATTTACATCCAAATCAGGTGAACGGTGTAGGAATTACAACAGTTTGCATATGTGCCTCCCACTTCTTAAGGGACCAAAAGTAATGGGACAATTGGCTTCTCAGCTGTTCCATGGCCTGGTGTGTGTTATTCCCTCATTATCCTAATTACAATGAGCAGATAAAAGGTCCAGAGTTCATTTCAAGTGTGATATTTGCATTTGGAATCTGTTGCTGTCAACTCTCAAGATGAGATCCAAAGAGTTGTCACTATCAGTGAAGCAAGCCATCATTAGGCTGAAAAAACAAAACAAACCCATCAGAGAGATAGCAAAAACATTAGGCATGGCCAAAACAACTGTTTGGAACATTCTTAAAAAGAAGGAACGCACCGGTAAGCTAAGCAACACCAAAAGACCCGGAAGACCACGGAAAACAACTGTGGTGGATGACCGAAGAATTCTTTCCCTGGTGAAGAAAACACCCTTCACAACAGTTGGCCAGATCAAGAACACTCTCCAGGAGGTAGGTGTATGTGTGTCAAAGTCAACAATCAAGAGAAGACTTCACCAGAGTGAATACAGAGGGTTCACCACAAGATGTAAACCATTGGTGAGCCTCAAAAACAGGAAGGCCAGATTAGAGTTTGCCAAATGACATCTAAAAAAGCCTTCACAGTTCTGGAACAACATCCTATGGACAGATGAGACCAAGATCAACTTGTACCAGAGTGATGGGAAGAGAAGAGTATGGAGAAGGAAAGGAACTGCTCATGATCCTAAGCATACCACCTCATCAGTGAAGCATGGTGGTGGTAGTGTCATGGTGTGGGCATGTATGGCTGCCAATGGAACTGGTTCTCTTGTATTTATTGATGATGAGACTGCTGACAAAAGCAGCAGGATGAATTCTGAAGTGTTTCGGGCAATATTATCTGCTCATATTCAGCCAAATGCTTCACAACTCATTGGACGCAGCTTCACAGTGCAGATGGACAATGACCCAAAGCATACTGCAAAAGCAACCAAAGAGTTTTTTAAGGGAAAGAAGTGGAATGTTATGCAATGGCTAAGTCAATCACCTGACCTGAATCCGAATGAGCATGCATTTCACTTGCTGAAGACAAAACTGAAGGGAAAATGCCCCAAGAACAAGCAGGAACTGAAGACAGTTGCAGTAGAGGCCTGGCAGAGCATCACCAGGGATGAGACCCAGCGTCTGGTGATGTCTATGCGTTCCAGACTTCAGGCTGTAATTGACTGCAAAGGATTTGCAACCAAGTATTAAAAAGTGAAAGTTTGATTTATGATTATTATTCTGTCCCATTACTTTTGGTCCCTTATGAAGTGGGAGGCACATATGCAAACTGTTGTAATTCCTACACCGTTCACCTGATTTGGATGTAAATACCCTCAAATTAAAGCTGACAGTCTGCAGTTAAAGCACATCTTGTTCGTTTCATTTCAAATCCATTGTGGTGGTGTATAGAGCCAAAAATGTTAGAATTATGTTGATGTCCCAATATTTATGGACCTGACTGTATCTTTCAGACTGTCCCTATTACTCCACCTTCAGGTTTCGGACCTCATAGGTGTACTATGATACGCAATTTTATTTGGTGCCACATTTCTTTATGTAAACAAAGAGGTGGATTAGCTTTGCCAAATATACCTCTGTATCTTCACACTGCCTTTTTTGTCAGGATCCTAGGTTGTATTCTGTATTATAAACACATTACAATCTGATTGTAGAATCTCATTAAAATCTGCTAACAACTATGTATGGTAAGGCACTACATCATTGAATACAAATCCAAACAATGATTTAGTTAGAACCTCACATGAATCAAAGGGACATTTTACAGAGATTGTAGGTTCCTACTATATGACCACCTTTACTAAACAAATTGGTGTTAACAGATATCCCCTGGCAAGTCACTTTTGGGAAAAGAGTTAACTGATGCAGCTTATTTCCATCTGAGGCGAGCCAGCAGCAGGAGTGTAATAGGCTGGTTATAGCCTGTTTGAAATTTGACCGGTTCATCTGTGTGTGTACATCTTTTTTCAACAGAAGGTGATCATTTGAAATTTGCTCTCACAGGCTGCAGCAGCCGAATAGTGTATTTTGACAGCTGTTGGTGTTGCTGTCATAATGCAATGTCTTGTCCTAGGGTATTCCTCCATTCACCTTGCTTATGTGGCTGGAAGAATCTGTGCTGAATTGAAAAAGAAATAAAAAATAACAGTATGCATGTTCAAGTAATCTGAATGTGCGTGTTTGCATTGAGAACTGTTGTACAGAGGATTTTTTGGTGGTCAGTTCACATCTAATATACAGTATGTTGTAGCCTTACGTTGTCCCTACAATACATACTGTATATAAGAATACCTGCCACAAGAGAAATATTTGTTTAAATGTTTAAATTTGAGGCAAACTAAAAGAGTTTACCAAGCATAAAGTATAAATCAGTCAGCTCCATCTTACTGATTATATGTAATGACAGAGTTATTCTTTGTTTTTATCCAGCCATAACCGCATGAGGACATATGACACCTACATAGGAATTGGCTGGCTGATCCCTGGAATGGATACTGGTCTTCTGGGAATGTGCGTTGGTGAAAGACGTATAATCACAGTTCCCCCATTTCTAGCATATGGAGAAGACGGTGATGGTAAGTTTATACTTTTTTTAAATTCAGTCTCATAAAACCAAAGTTTCTAAGGTGTCCTGAGCTGCTAAACTCATGCATCAAACATGCATCAAGTGCCCCTTATAACGACAAGACAAGAAGACACATAGGGATACGTTAAGGGAAGACACTAGTGAGTGGAGTTCTTTGCCCTGAGCTTGATGTGAGATGAGCAGGATGGAAGTTTACACAGCACTGACTGACTCCCATTCCAGCTCAGTGTGCAAATTCCTGAGCAATGTAGTTTAAGGTGCTATTGATCTGCTCTTATGTAAGTGCAATTTTATTTATCAAATAATTTTTTTTGCAAAGAGCAATATGGAGTATATTTTATATTTCTCTGAGAAAACTATGGACCTTTCACACAGCGCAGCACGGTTCGTGCATGTGCAGTGGGAAGCCAGCTGTGAAGCCAAAAGAAGTCATAGCCGACTTCCCACAGTCAACATGGTGCTGGGGTCCTAAAGACTGGTGAAGAGCGGGCAAGGGTGAGGACAGCACTGAATTCCTGGAGAGATGAATGTCCTTTTATTAAAAATCAGCAGCTACAGTATTTGTAGTTGCTGGCTGTAATTTTTTTATTTTTTGGTGGGGGAAGTGGACACGTTGATGGTATACTATTCATTTGCATGCTTTGTGAAATTTGCACAATAGTGGCATTTATTTACTTTTAACAAAGCATATTTTTGTATATTTCAGGTGTCTTTCTGTGCACAAGGATTTATGCTTTATGCTTGCAGCATATATACAATGTGCACGAGATTTCATTTATTAATAATCAGCCAAAATGTTGGAATGTATAATATCTCAAGATCTCAGTATAAAATATGTTCCAATTTTTAGCATCGTTTAAACAGAAAAGATAACAAGTATCAGAGCTAAACAGTGAAACAACTGCTATGCATATATTTAGCCCTGAAATTTACACAGCTCTGCCATACAGTTACACGGCTCTTTCAGGACAGGGGATGTGATTTTGTTTTCTGCTGCAGTTAAGCATCACTTACAGGTCTTGTCCCTCTCCTAGCCTGTGACTGAACAGAGAAAGAAGAAGCAGCAGAGTTTATCTCTCTTTCAATCTTCTCTCTCCTCCTATCAGTATGCTGTTTGTTAGCACATGAGCACCGTAGACTGACAGCTGTATTACCTGCAATAAATAAATAAATGATATACATATAGGTACTGTTATTATTCTGGGTCAGTGACCCTCCAGCTGGTAAAACCTATGGATAAGCATGAAACCCTGGGAACTAGCAGCTTCATAAAACCTTTTAATGTTAACTTTTGCAAGAAGTTATTTTAGGTGGTATTTACTTCACTAGAGATTCTAATACAGACCATAATGAATCTGCCATTTTGTGTCCTGAGGCTGGTTTTCAGAGCCATGCATGTTTTTTTAATAAATCAGTTATGACTAAGTTTTAAATATTTTCCCAGGTAAAGATATCCCTGCCCAGGCATCACTTGTGTTTGACGTAGTCTTGCTAGATTTGCACAATCCTAAAGATGGCATCACATCAGAGGTCCTATATATGGCAGACAACTGTGAGCGGAAGACACAGGCTGGTGACTACATCAGATATCATTATAATGGAACACTGTTAGATGGCACTTTCTTTGATTCCAGGTTTGTAAAATGACTACCCAAGGGCAATGTCTGGTATTTATATATTATTAAAACATTTTCTTATATCTGTTCAATTAGTGCAAAAGATACTCGTTGATCCTGCCAGACATTTAGTCAGCTTCAGACTACCTGTCATGTACTGGAATGCTGCATCAAAATTTTATAGCTGAAGAGAAAACAAAAATGTTTCATTATATTGGGGCTACGCCCACACTGCAAGGGTTAAATTATGCTAGCTTATGTCTAGGTAAATAGAAAAAACTATTTTACTTACCCAATCCCGGCCCCCGCAGGATACTTATGCATCTACTCCCTGCAGCCTCTTCTTCCCTACATTCTGGTGGTCGCAGGTCCTCTGAAGTTATCAAGTACAATGCAGGGCCCATAGCCCTACATTAGACATGAGGACATCAAAAGACAGTCTACTGCTGGAGTTTAGGTAAATGCTGGCTGTGGGTGAGCAGGGATTGGGTAAGTAAAAGTGCTCTTTTGAAGGAGGATGCTGGAAAACCAGCATCCGATCATCGCTGCCAGTGCTGATCAGTGTGTTCTGGCAGTGGGGCAGTCCCCCTGTCAGAATACAATAGCACAGTGGGGTAGATTGCCATGCTAACTTTGATTTTATAATTATTATTATAAAGGATTTTAATAGCGCCAAGTTTGTGCTGCACTTTAAAAAATAGAGGCAAACAGTACAGTTACTATACAAATTCATAACAAGAGGATTAGGAGGGTCCTGCTTGTGAGAGATTCTAATCTAAAAGGGGAGGGCAAGCGATACAAAAAGTAATAATTGTGAGAAATGAGCTGATTAGGAAAGTAAAAGTTCAGTTTATTAGGAGGAGAAGGGATAGATCTCCCTGAAAAGATGAGTTTTCAGGGATCACCCAAACAATGAGAAATGTGATTGTCTCAGAAAATCCAGATGATTAATTCTTCTCCTGATATCACTGAGCAGAGCGGTCTGTACAGTTTGCAATATAATTTCCTGATCTGTATGTGAACACACTGCAAAATATATTCCCATGGGCAACAAGTTTAAAAGGCTAAAAATCAAACCTATGTGGCTTACAGCCAAAGTTAAAAAAATTAAGGAACGCTATCATTGTTTAAACATTACATAGAATATAACAGAGCAGTGCAGGAACGGGTCGCCATTCATAAACGGCGCCTGCATTTTCAGGCTGTCACACTCCCTGGGGGTGCACGGCACCGCGATCCGGTGCTCGCTGTGTCCTCTGAACACTGTTCACTGTACACGACTTATGTGTGACACTGTACTGCTAGGTTGACAGTATGTTTAAAATAAAAAAACATAAATAATAACCTAAAAAAATAAAATAAAAATGTAAAAAAATGTTTTGAAAAATTATAATTTTTGGTTATAAACTCATTTGGGTTATTTTTTTTTTTTTACTAAAAAGATAACCGAATACATTTTGGCCAAGATTTATGAAGAAAATTTTATAAGAAAAACACTTTTTTTCAAAATTTTTGGACATTTTCATTTATATAGAGAAAAAAATAATCCAGTGGTGTATAAATACCACCAAAATAAAGTTTTATCTGTCTCAAAAAAATGCTAAAAATTTCATATACAGTGTTGCATGACTGCGCAATTGTCATTCAAAGTGTGATAGCACTGAAAGCTGAAAAAAAAGGGGTCAAAATCTTTACCAAGTAATTATAGACCTGTTAGTTTTTATCTTCTATAGCTGGGAAGATACTGGAGAGTTTAATAAAAGACCACATAGTTGAGTTCTTGCTGGAAAAAAATATTTTAAAGCAACAGACGGCATGGATTCATGAAAGACAGAAGTTGTCAAACAAATCTGATTTCTTTTTATGAGGAGGTGAGCAAAACCTTGGACAGAGGGGTGGCTGTGGATGTGGTATACTTGGAGTTTGCAAAAGCGTTTGACACAGTTCCCCATACATGGCTAATGTGTAAGGTAAAGTCTACGGGCTTGGAAAAATCTGTATGTAAATGGATAGAAAACTGGCTAAAAGATCGTATTCAGAGAGTAGTGGTTAATGATTCATGCTCTGAATGGTCTAGAGTTGTCAGTGGTGTACCCCAAAGTTCAGTGTTGGGACCCTTAATTTTAGATAAATATATTTATAAATGATATAGGGTCTGGGATTTAAAATCCTTATTCAGTCTTTGCAGATGACACCAAGCTGTGCAGTGGAATAACGTCCTTACAGGATGTCTTCAACTTACAAGCCGACCTCAATGCACTGTTTAATTGGGCAACTATGTGGCAAATAAGGTTTAATGTTGATAAATGTAAGGTTATGCACTTGGGGGCTAAGAATATGCATGCATCATACATACTAGGGGGGGGTACAACTGGGGGAATCAATGGTGGAGAAGGATCTGGGGTTTTGGTAGATCACAAGCTTAATAATGGCATGCAATGCGAAGCTGAGGTTTCTAAAGCGAGCAAATTCCTCTCTTGTATTAAAAGAGGTATAGACTCCAGAGAGAGAGATCATATTACCCCTGTACAAATCATTAGTAACACCTCATCTGGAATATGCAGTTCAGTTTTGGGCACCAATTCACAAAAATAACATTGGGGAACTGGAGAATACACAGAGAAGGGCAACCAAACTGATAAGAGGCATGGAGGAGCTCAGCTATGAGGAAAGATTAGATGAACTGAATTTATTCTCTCTTGAGAAGAGAGATTAAGGGGGGATATGATCAACATGTATAAATACATCAGTGGTTCATATAGTGAACTCGGTGTGGAGTTATTCACCCTGAGGTCATCACAGAGGACAAGGGGCACTCTTTACGTCTGGAGGAAAAGAAATTTAATCTCTAAACACAGAAAGGTTTCTTCCCAGTAAGAGCTTTGAAAATGTAGAATAGACTCCCTCAAGAGTTGGTTCTGGCCAGCTCAGTGGATTTCTTTAACCAGATCCATACCGGGCACTTTTACCCCCTTCCTGCCCAGGCCATTTTTCAGGTTTCAGCGCTCTCACACATTGAATGACAATTGCGCGATCATGCAACACTGTACCCAAACTAAAATTTTTTATCATTTTCTTCACACAACTAGAGCTTTCTTTTGGTGGTATTTAATCACCACTGGGGTTTTTATTTTTTGCTAAATTAACAAAAAAAGACCAAACATTTCGAAAAAAAACCCACTTTTTTCTTTGTTTCTGTTATAAAAGTTTGCAAATAAATAATTATTCTTCATACATTTAGGCCAAGATGTATTCTGCTACATTTCTTTGGTGAAAATAACCCAAATTAGTATTTATGATTTAGTCTGTAGGAAACTTATAGAGTTCACAAACTATGGGATATATCTGAAAATTGATCAGTCCTGAAGTACTGACGGCCAATCTAATTTCTTGAGGTCCAAGAATGTCAGAAGAGTACAGATATCTCCCAAATGACCCCTTTTGCAAAGTAGACAGTCCGACGTATTTCATAAGAGGAATGGCGAGTTTTTTTGAAGTTGTAATTTTTTTGTCATACTTTTTCGGAAAATGAAGAAATTAAAAAAAAATGATTTTCACTATTTTTTTTTTACATACTGTCACCAGTGCAGTACAGCGTCATCATATAATTTTTTAAAAAACAATTTACATTTTTTAACTATTTTTTATTACAATTTTTTCTCTTTTTTAAGATTTTTTTTTTTCATATTTCTCTATGACCAAAGTAGTACAATGTTACCACAGTAACATTGTACTACTTTGGGGAAGTGATCAGTATTTTTTTTTTTTTTTTTACACAATTTGCTTATAGCAAAAAATTACTTTGCAATAAGCAAGCATTTACCTGAATGAAATTGAGTCATTCAGGGTTTTTTTTTTTTTGTGATTAGCTGTGATTTGGCCATGGCTAATCACTTGACACAGCTGGGCTGTGATTGGCCCAGCTTGTGCATGTGATCGCTGTGACCAATCACACCTAGACACACTTGTATACAATGGATGGCATGAAAGGAAGCCATCCATTGTATGCAACTGTCATGTGACCTGCTGTGATTGAACACAGCAGGTCCCATGGTACTGGCTACGGGGCCGGTACACAGATCTGTCATCGGCGGTGTCCGAGGTACACGGCTGGTGACAGATTGCGCCGCAGTGCGGCCCTGCGGGCATGCGCAATGCGCTCTCCGAAAAGGACGCCATGTGGCGTCCACCCGGAGGGACGAGGTGTTCGCCTGGCCGCCATTTGGCTATAGGCTGGGCGGCAACTAGTTAAAAAAGGCCTGGATTCTTTCTTGGATACACAGAATATAACTGGATACTAACATTTATAGGTAAGGTTGATCCAGGGAATATCCGATTGCCTCTCGGGGAATCAGGAAGCCCCTGCAGGAGCAAATTGGATCATGCTTTGTTTTCCAGAAGAAGTTTTTCTGCCTTCTTCTGGATAAACTGTGGGTATAGGATTACAGTTTTTTTTTTTTTATGGTTGAACTAGATGGACTTTTGTCTTTTTTCAGCCAGACTAACTATGTAACTATCATCTCATGGTTATAAGCACCTTAGATGTGTGACTATGTAACCTTGCAGTACTGACAAAAGTCTTTTCTGATTTCAGTTACTCTCGAAATCGCACTTATAACACATACATTGGGAAGGGTTATGTGATTTCTGGCATGGATGAAGGTTTGCTGGGCCTATGTGTTGGAGAAAGACGACGAATAACAATTCCACCCCATCTTGCTTATGGTGAAGAGGGCAGAGGTAAGTAGCATTTTGTCTGTTCCCAAGCATCCACTGTACACAAACATAAATATTGCATAAGGCCCCTTTTCACATTTGAGAATGAGGCCATCAGCGATCACATGCAGGAGACCCAACAGGGGTTCCCTGTGAATAGCTGCTGGTGGCAATCCCTTTGAAAGCAATGGGAGACTGACAGTTCCTGCAGCCACTCACATGCAATTGCTCATGGTGGGATTACCTGCGAATGATCAGCCCTGGATGCAGACTGTCTAGTAATCACACTAATCACATGGCACAGAGCTGTTCCAGCCAGTTAAAAAAAAAATCGAAGTTGTGCTGTCTACTGACAGAGTGAGCAGTGTCTCTGTACGTATGCTGGGTGACATAATCTAGAAATCAAAAAGGATGTACACTGTGGGGTTTATTTACTAATGTTGGTTCAATCTTGTGCACTTCTGCATAGAAACCAATCAGCTTACAGGTTTTATTGCTAAAGCTTAATTGAACAAGCTGAGGTTAGAAGCTGATTGGCTACCATGCACAGGTGCACCAGATTTTGAGTGAACCAGATTTAGTAAATCTCCCCATGTGCACAATTATTAGGCAAGTTGTATTTTTTAGGATTAATTTCATTATTGAACAACTACAGCGCTCTTGGTCAATCCAAAATGTTAATAAACCTCAAACCTGAATATTTAAAAAAGTACAAGCAATATTTTTGGCTTTCTTAGGAGAATATCTATGTGTGCATAATTATTGGGCAACTATTAGTGTGCAGAATTATTATACAACTAAATAGAAAACAAAACTTTCCCATCTCACTGTTAATGTGAGAATAATAAACAAACAACTCAAAATTTGCAAATAAACATTTCTGACATTTCAAAAAGAAACAGTGATCAACATAGCCACCCTTCTTTTCAGTGACAAACATACGACTTACATTCATGGAGTCTGTCAGTTTCTTGACCCTTTGACGAACAACTTCTTGTGCAGCAGCAACCACAGCCTCCCAGACACTGTTCAGAGAGGTGTAATGTTTTCCTTCACAGTAAATCTTCCATTTAAGAAGGACCCACAAGTTCTCAATAGGGTTTAGGTGAGGTGAGGAAGGGGGCCATGTCATTATTTTATCATCTTTAAGACCTTTACTGGCTTGCCACACAGTGGAGTACTTTGATGCATGCGATGGAGCATTGTCCTGCACGAGTGTCATGTTTTCTTGTTTGCTTGAAGAAATTGTCTTCTAAAAACTGACAGTAGGTTTGGGAGATGATTTGAGTCCATCTTCAACCCGAAAAAGGTCCAACTAGCTCATCTTTAATAATACTAGCCCAAACCAGTACCCCACCTCCACCTTGTTGGTTGAAGTGGAGCTCTGTGCCCATTACTGATCCAGACGCAGGCCCATCCATCTAGTCCGTCAAGAGTCACTGTCATCTCATCAGTCTATAAAACCTTTGAAAAATCTGTCTTCAGATATTTCTTGGCCCAGTCTTGACGCTTCAACTTAAGTGTCTTGTGCAGTGGTGGTCGGTTTCAGCTTTTCTTACCATGACCATATATCTGAGTACTTCTGAGCATTTCAGGTAGGTTGCAGTTTTGGAATATTGCAGCGTTGGAGGATAATAGGTTCCTGATAGCTTCATGTTTGATTCTTCTCAAATCTTTTGGCAGTTAATTTGCGTCTGTTTTTTTTCTTTCAACACATTTCTTGTGACCTTGTTGACTATTTGCTAAAAAATGTTTGATGGTTCTGTGATCACGCTCCAATATCTCAGCAATTTCAAGACTGCTGCATCTCTCTGAAAGACTTTATACACTTTTTGACTTTTCAGAGTCAGTTAAATGTCTTTTTTGGCCAATTTTGCCCAGGAAAAGAAGCTACCTAATAATTATGCACACCCTCCCTCACTACACAAATACACATCACCTGATATACTTAAATCCAATAAGCATTCAAGTTTATACAGCTTGGAGTTGGACAATATACATAAAAATGATGATTTCGTCAAAATACACACTTTGCCTAATAATTGTGAACACAGTGTACAGGTAAGTCCACTGTCCGGCTGTTTGTGTGATTAAAGTTAAAGACCCTTTTAGATCTGTGTAAGCACTTAACATGAACAATGTTGTTTGATGTGTTACCTTGTGCTCAATTTTTTCTTAAGGGTCCTCAATGAGCATTAACGCTCAAAATAAACACACAGTATTAATATACACATACATACACATGTTTTCACATATACAGTATCTCCCCGAAGTGAGGTCACCCCTCACATTTTGGTAAATATTTTGTTATATCTGTTAATGTGACAACACTGAAGAAATTACACTTTGCTACAATGTAAAGAATACAGATTGTATAACAGTGTAAATTTGCTGTCCCCTCAAAATAACTCAACACACAGCCATTAATGTCTAAACTGCTGGCAACAAAAGTGAGTACACCCCTAAGTGTCCAAATTGCCCCCAAAGTGTCAATATTTTGTATGGCCACCATTATTTTCCAGCACTGCCTTAACCCTCTTGGGTATGGAGTTCACCAGAGCTTCACAGGTTGCCAATGGAGTCCTCTTCCACTCCTCCATGATGACATCACGGAGCTGGTGGATGTTAGAGACCTTGCTCTCCTCCACCTTCTGTGAGGAGGGAGCTGGGGGTAGGGCTGAGCCATAGACACACAGAGGCGGCTCAGGAGCAAGCATTCACGAGTGCCCACAGAGCAAACAGCTTGCTCTGGAGGCAGTCAGGGGCGAGGAGCCAGGAGTTCCAGCAGGGACCCGAGAAGAAGATCAGGGCTGCTCTGTGCAATACCATTGCACATAGCAGGTAACGATGACACGTTTATTATTTTAGAAAAAAATATCTGAACCTTTACAAATGCTTTAACTTTGGTTATTTTGTGGAATTTTCAGGAAAAATCCCAGGATCTGCAGTGTTAGTGTTTGATATCCTCGTGGTTGATTTCCACAACCCAGATGACTCTGTCAGCATCACGGCACAATTTAAACCAAGCAACTGTACACTCCTGAGCAAAAAGGGAGATTACCTGAAGTATCACTACAATGCAACTCTCATGGATGGAACTGTGCTAGATTCAACGTAAGATTTACCAAGCTATATCTATACATACAGTATATGATATTATAAATGTTCTGTGGTATACTAGAAAATGCCTTATTCTATTGTATTAATATGCTGTATAACATATGAGCTTGAGATGTACATCTGTTAACACATATGTAATGTTGGCAAGGCAGGGGACCAAAACTTGTGGGTCAGGAACACTCCTAAAACTTCTGATGCATGCAAGTAGCTCTGCCTCAGGGGCTTCTGTCTTTTGTCCTAAACAGTGAGCCCTCTTAGACATGTATGTACCCATCTTCCGAGAGTCTCCATCTTGGAATAGGGCCATAAACAAGCCCATGGGGGCTCACTGCACAGTCAAGAGGTGAAGATGTTTCCTGTGCCTGTATACAGTATCTCTATTATTTTGGCACACTTGTTCTTGCTACTCTGTCATTATGAAAAACTTCTATATAAAGTGTTTTAAAAAAAAGAGGGTAAAGAAGATTTCAATCTGGAGCGGCTAGAAACATTGTAACAAGCTACAGTTGTCTTATTGAGGTAAGCACACTACTGGGATAAGGGATTTTAGTGTAGTTTAGTTCAGCAGGGCTGGGGCGGGGGATGGAGATAATGTCATTTTTAGAAAAGGTACAGCTATATTTTATTATTCAGTTTATAAAAGGCAGCTTACCAGTGTTGTAATTAAGTTCAGAAGAAGAATGATTCCAGCATCATAAAATATAATACAGATATGATAATGTGCAGTAAAAAAGTTTTTCTAAAAGAAAATGAATGTATTTACACGTTTCTTATTGAATCTCTCTAAAACCACTAAGTAAGGGTTTATATGCAGCTTTAGCATACAGCTAAATAGTGAGTAGTTATATTTCTCATGTTTTGTTCCAATTTAAAAGCAAGGAAAGTAAGCTGTAATGAGGATATATCCTGAAAGTAGACAGAGAATGATAACACAGCACAGTGTTACAGTCTTCTGTGAATTGTATGCCTGTGTATTAGCTTGGGAGCACCCCTCACTGTGTAGTGGAATGCAAGAGTTTGATTATCTTAACAGCTATAGGTTTGATTAGATGCCATGAGTCTACATAGAGTGATACTAAAGGCTCATGTTTTTTTGCCTAAAATTAAAAAGAGGTTTATGCTTACCTGCTCTTTTACATAGTTAGAGTTAGTCTGGCTGAAAAAAGACAAAAGTGCATCCAGTTCAACCATAGAAGAAAAAAAAAGTTATACTCCTATACTCATTGTTAATCCAGAGGAAGGCAAAAAAAACCCAGCAAAGCATGATCCAACTTGCACCTGCTGGGAAAAAAATTCCTTCCTGCCTTGCTTTTGCAAGGATATTGTACAGAGTGCCCCCTTGCCTCCTGGGGTACCCTGTCAGCACTCACCTTTTCTTTATGTGCCCCCTAGAAAGTCATTTGTTATTAGGGCACATGTGCGGGTGTTTTCCCGAGCTGGGATGTGTGCCTCCATGGACGCACACTGCACAACTCAGCCTCATACCCTGCTCCCTTTTCAAAGGATTTGATTGATAGCAGCAGGAGCTTCTGCTGCCGCCTCTGTGCCTATGAGAGAGAGGGAGAGAAAGCAAGTGCTGCTGCAGATGGGTACAGAGCTGGATTGAAGGTAAGTATTCAGGAAGAGTGGGAGGAACAACTAGAGGAAGGTTTTTTTTTACGTGCAATAAGGTAAAAACTTTTTTTTTTTCTTAGAAGCACTTTAACTAGCTACATTTTCTTGCCATTTGAAGTCAGAAATTGAAAAATCGATTCAAACTGAAACTAGAACTTACTATATCATTTGATTAGAAATATATAATTTATACTAGTGCCATAACACAATTTAATTTGGATTTCTGTAGAGCCATTCTGATTGAAAACTCTTAAATTTTTGAGGCCTCATTTATACATGTCGCAGGGGGGAAAGGTGAAGGGCAGTAAGAAAGGCAGTTGATCCGTGTTTTCATCTCCCCCAACCACCCCCTTAACCTGGTACGCATGCCAAGACTAGCAAAAATGATACCACAGACAACGTCATGTCATGCAGTGCCGCCAGCAAACTCGACCAATTCAAATGAATAGCCCTCACCATAACTGTATATAATGCGCATGGTCGTGACGCCGTGTTGCGGTGTTTTGAGGGTCAAAACAGGCATCCTGGAGGTGACCTCTGACGCCTCTGAAAAGAGATCTACTTCAGATTGCTTTTTAGAAGAGCAGCAATGACAATCGCATCTCTCTTCAGTCAGTCTCCTTTCTTGGGCCTGAACATTCAGGGACCCTTTCACCTCCCAAACAGTCTCTCTGAGTGTTTTCCATCTTTACAAAATGACAGGCAGTGTTAACGTCACACAGGACATGTTATTAGCATAACTAATCATTTTTTAAAGAGAATTAAACTAAGGGCACAGTGTTTTATAGCAGAGACTAAATATGCACTTTTTGCAGATACACATTCTAACTGAAATAAACACAGAGCAGCTGCATTTTCCATGTATTTCATCAGCTTTAGATTACTCAATCAGCGGTTAAAGTAAATAAAACAAAAAATTCAGCTGCATAGAAACAATTATGGTCCATACTATATCGTACCCACATGTTTGCATCTGTGTAGACACCTTTATACAGGCACAGGAACTTCCACCCAAAAACAGAAAGTCCAGGCAAACGGCTTATTACACAGTTGAAATACATACAGGTGCACCTCAGTAAATTAGAATATCATCAAAAAGTTAAATTATATCAGTAATTCAATCCAAAAAGTGAAACTCATATATTATATAGATTTATTACACACAGAATGATATATTGCAAGCATTTCTTTCTTTTAATTTTGATGATTATGGCTTACAGCTAGTGAAACCTCAAAATTCAGTGTCTCAGGAATTAGAATATTACATAAGACCAATAAAAAAAAATATTTTAATACAGAAATGTTGGCTTACTGAAAAGTAGGTGCATGTACAGTGCTCTCAGTGCACTCTCAATACTTAGTTGGGGCTTCTTTTTGCATGAATTACTGCATCAATGTGGCGTGTCATGGGGGCGGTCAGCTTCTGGTACTGCTGACATGTCATGTAAGCCCAGGTTGCTTTGATAGAGGCCTTCAGCTTATCTGCATTGTTGGTTCTGGTGTCTCTCATCTTCCTCTTGACAATACCCCACAGATTCTCTATGGGGTTTAGGTCAGGCGAGTTTGCTGGCCAAACAAGCATAGTAATACCATGATCATAAAACCAGGTATTGGTACTTTTGGCAGTGTGGGCAGATACCAAGTCCTGCTGGAAAATGAAATCAGTATCTCCATAACGCTGGTCAGCAGAGGGAAGCATGAAGTGTTCTAGGATTTCCTGGTAGAGGGCTGCACTGAATTTGGTCTTGATAAAATACCATGGGCCAACAGCACCAGATGACTGACTGTGGAAACTTCACATTGGACCTCATGAAACGTGGATTCTGTGCCTCTCCACTCTTCCTCCAGACTCTGAGACCTTGATTTTACTTTCATCTGAAAAGAGGATTTTGGACCACTGAGCAACAGTCCAGTCCTTTTTCTCCTTAGCCCAGGTAAGACGCTTCTGATGTTTCTGGTTCAGGTGTGGCTTGAGACATGGAATGCGACAGTTGTAGCCCATGTCCTGGATACATCTGTGTGTGGTGGCCCTTGAAGCACTGACACCAGTCGTAGTCCACTCCTTGTGAATCTCCCGAAAATTCCTAAATGGCCTTTGCTTCACAATCCACTCAAGGCTGCGGTTATTTCTGTTGCTTGTGCACCTTTTTCTGCCACACTTTTTCCTTCCACTCAACTTTCCATTAATATGTTTGGATACAGCACTCTGTGAACAATGACCTTTTGTGACTTACCCTCCTGTTGGAGGGTGTCAATGACTGTCTTCTGGACAAAAGTCAAGTCAGCAGTCTTCCTCATGGTTGTATAACCTACTGAACCAGACTTATGCAGGCCATAGATGGGTCGAAAATCGGCCGATTTTTTCGGCCGAATATAAAATCGGCCGATTTTCGGATCGTTAGTGGGCTAAATGTTCGGCCGTTTTTCGGTATTTTGGCAGATTTTTTTTATCGGTAAAGTTGGAAAAAAAATCGGCTGATTTTGCCGATCGGCCGATTTTCGCAGCAATGATGGGCAAATCGGCCGATCTTTTACCGATAAAAAAATCTGCGCATGAGCAGTGACCTGCAAGAGGAAGACAAAAAGAAGAAGAAAAAAGAAAAGGATGAAGAGGATGAAGAAGAGGGAGAAGGAGAAGAGAAGAAGAGGATGAAGTAGAAGAGGATGGAGAAGAAGAGGATGAAGAAGAAGAGGATGAAGAAGAAGAGGAAGATGAAGAAGAGGAAGAAGAAGAGGAAGAAGAGGATGAAGAGAAGAAGAGGATGAAGAAGAAGAGGATGATGAAGAAGAAGAGGATGAAGAAGAAGAGGATGAAAAAGAAGAAGAGGATGAAAAAGAAGAAGAGGATGAAAGAAGAGGATGAAGAAGAGGAAGAAGAAGAAGAGGATGAAGAAGAAGAGGAAGAAGAAGAAGAAGAAGAGATGAAGAAGATGAAGAAGAAGAGGAAGAAGAAGAAGACAAAGAAGAAGATGAAGAAAAGGATGAAGAAGAAGAAGATGAAGAAGAGGATGAAGAAGAGGAAGCAGAAGAAGAAGAGGATGAAGAAGAGGATGAAGAAGAGGATGAGGAAGATGAAGAAGAGGATGAAGAAGATGAAGAAGAAGAAGAAGAAAAAGAAGTGGATGAAGAGGAAGAAGAAGAGAATAAAAAAGAAGAAGAGGAAGAAGAAGAAGAGGATGAAGAAGAAGAGGATGAAGAAGAAGATGAAGAATAGAAGAAGAAGAGGATGAAGAAGAAGAGGATGATGAAGAAGAAGAAGATGAAGAAGAAGAAGAAGAAGAAAAGAAGAAGAGGATGAAAAAGAAGAAGATGAAGAAGAAGGATGAAGAAGAAGGAAGAAGAAGAAGAGGATGAAGAAGAGAGAAGAAGAAGAAGAAGAAGAGGATGAAGAAGAAAGATGAAGAAGAAGAGGAAGAAGAAGAAGAAAAGAAGAAGATGAAAGAAAAGGGATGAAGAAGAAGAAGATGAAGAATAGGAAAAAGAAGAGGAAGCAGAAGAAGAAGAGGATGAAGAAGAAGAGGATGAAGAAGAAGATGAAGAAGAAGAAGATGAAGAAGAGGATGAAGAGGATGAAGAAGAAGAAGAAGAAAAGAAGAGGATGAAGAGGAAGAAGAAGAGAATGAAAAAGAAGAAGAGGAAGAAGAAGAAGAGGATGAAGAAGAGGAGAGGATGAAGGAGAAGAAGATGAAGAAGAAGAGGATGAAGAAGAAGAGGATGAAGAAGAAGAGGAAGATGAAGAAGATGAAGAAGAGGATGAAGAAGAAGAGATGAAGAAGAAGAGGATAAAGGAGGATGAAGAAGAGGAAGAGGAAGAAGGAGAAGAGGAAGAAGGAGAAGAGGATGAAGAAGAAGAGGAAGAAGAGATGAAGAAGAGGAAGATGAAGAAGAAGAGGATGAAGAAGAAAAAGAGGAAGAAGAAGAAGAGGATGAAGAAGAAGAAGAAAAGATGAAGAAGAAGAGGAATTCCAGTGCGGCAAAAAGTGTCCCTGCAGAGAGCTCCGCTATTTCTTTGACAGTTCCTTGACATTTATAGCGGTTGCAACAATGTATCTATTTGTTTCCGAATAAAAACATCTGTATCCTAAATGGATACAAATAGATACAATGTTGCAACCGCTATAAATGTCAAGGAACTGTCAAAGAAAATAGCGGAGCTCTCTGCAGGGACACTTTTTGCCGGCTGTAGACGGGATGAAAATCGGCCGATTTTTTTTTACCGTTGCTGGTAACGTCAGCCGCTTAAACGACCGATTTTTTTTTTGTTTTTTTAAAAGAAAAATCGGCCGATTTTTGACCCATCTATGGCCTGCATAAGAGTCCACTTAATGGCTCAGGAAACCTTTTACAGGTGTTTTGAGTTAATTAGCTGATTAGAGTGTAACTCCAGTCTACAATATTGAACTTTTTCACAGTATTCTAATTTTCTGAGATACTGAATTGATACTGTGTGGGTTTTCACTAGCTGTAAGCCATAATCATCAAAACTAAATGATAGAAATGCTTGAAATATATCACTCAGTGTGTAATGAATCTATATAATACGAATTTCACTTTTTCAATTGAATTACTGAAATAAATGAACTTTTTGATGATATTTTCTCATGGTACTACGCTTGAATTCAATGAACTCCTGAAAGCGATCCATTCTTTCACAAAAGTTTGTAGAAGCAGTCTGCATGCCTAAGTGCTTGATTTTATACACCTGTAGCCATGGAGGCAGTTGGAACACCTGAATCCAATGATTTGGAGGGGTGTCCCAATAATTTGGCAATATATTGTATATAAAGCCTGCTTACATATGTAGTCATATTTTACTTGTTTCGACCTAATGGCAATTTATTTTCCCAGACACCAGTATGGCAAAACCTACAACATAGTATTGGGATCTGGCCAGGTTGTAATGGGAATGGACATTGGCCTAAGAGATATGTGTGTTGGAGAGAAGCGTACAGTCATTATACCTCCACATTTCGGATATGGAGAAGCTGGAGTGGGTAAGTTAAAGCTGAACTCTAGGCAGACAGCTAAAAATCTAGATGACCTACACATATGTGAACTTTTTGAACTGTCAAACACTTCCAAAGCTATTCAGCCTCTTTATCATTCATATGCCTTTGCCAGACAGCACAACCAGGAGAGTGACACCACTTTCTCTTTTAGAGATAAGGAATACCATTGTGTCACCTCCTGCCCCCAAACCACTCACTGGATAGTAAAGAAACAAAAATATATTAGTAAGTCATAAACTTTTCTCCTGCTCTTTCCAACTCAGCAATTTGTTGCTAGCATGTGCATACAGCTGAGCTGTTATTCCTTACTCCATGGCCCAGTTTGAGTGCCACTGTACAGGGAATGGTGGGAAGCTGTTATCAAGACACATTCAGGCAAAATTTATTGCTCAAAGGATATGTAATATTTTTAAAGGAATACATAACTGAATTAAATGGTGTTTTTGTATCTGCATGGAGTTTTAAAGCAATAGTGCGGTCAGATATAAAATACACCGATTTTATCCTCTTGTGTATTTTTTTTAGAAATCCTTATATGTATTTTTCATTCAATAAATTTATGTTGGTTTTCATAGTTTGCAAAGTCACATTTAACAAGCACAATATGGAGAGATTAATATTCTTAATGAGCAAACATGTCAATAACGGAACGGTATAAAATAAACATTGCACATACAAAGTACAAGTGGGCCAGGAGTGTATAAAACAAAAGTAAAATAAAAACAAAAACATAACAAAAGATGGTGACAAAGATAGAAAAAAGGTAGCGCTATAACCAAATAATCAATAATCACAAAAAAAATCATCAAAACATAAAAAGAAAATATATAAATTAAAAAAAGAAGAAAAAAGTGTATCAAAATCCAAAGATATGATCTCAATTGCAAATAAAATATCATAAACTCGTTTTATCAAACAAATGAATTACCCATTATCATAATAAGAAAAATATATACTCTAAAAAATCAGCATCAAGCATCAAAAAAATGTCCAATAATAGTGTCTTTAGGTATAAAAAAATATACGTGAAAAAACCTTTTTGCATCAACCAAATTCCAATGTGCAAAATAATAAAAGAAAAAAAGGTGTTATCTTAAACTTCAGTGCTCCAAACTAGTAATTCTTCAAATAAACACAAAACACCGTAAAAAAAATTCACCACCAGTTGAATTAAATAAACTCACCAGAGCAACATGCTGGTCAAATTATAAACCAGCACACACGCTTTCGCTCTGGAAGCAATGATCTGCACATTGATGGCCTGCAATTGGGAGGCGATTCAATGAACAGTAATATCTTCTTGATATCAAACGCACTCATAAAGGAAGAGAGAAGGAACTGATAGTGTAAAATTGTACGGCAATTTTATTCATAAAAAACAGTCCATAAATTTCACTCACATTCCTTAGTGTCAAAGCTTACACTAGCTTGAACAGCGTATACAGCACAAATTCAAAAAAGCCGCTTCGGTGTCAGATGACGCCGACAGCTCACTGGGTGTGGTGACGTCACTCCAAGGCTCCACCCTATGCGTTTCGTCACTTGACGACCTCACAGAGCACTTTCTTTTTAATTTGTGCTGTATACGCTGTACAATTTTACACTATCAGTTCCCTCTCCTTTTATGAGTGTGTTTGATATCAAGAAGATTTTACTGTTCATTGAATCGCCTCCCAATTGCAGGCCATCAATCTGCAGATCGTTGCTCCCAGAGCGAAAGCGTTTGTGCTCTGGTGAGTTTATTTAATTCATCTGGTGGTGGATTTTTAATGGTGTTTTGTGTTTATTTGAAGAATTACTAGCTTGGAGCACTGAAGTTTAAGATAACACCATTTTTTCTTTTATTAATTTGCACATTGGAATTTGATTGATGCAAAAAGTTTTTTTCACGTATATTTTTTTGATACCTAAGGACACTATTATTGGACATTTTTTTGATGTTTGATGCTCATTTTTTAGAGTATATATTTTTCTTATTATGATACTGGGTAATTCATTTGATAAAATGAGTTTATGATATTTTATTTGCAATTGAGATCATATTTTTGGATTTTGATACACTTTTTTCTTTTTTTAATTTATATATTTTCTTTTTATGTTTGGATGATGTTTTTTGTGATTATTGATTATTTGGTTAGAGCGCTACCTTTTTTCTATCTTTGTCACTTTTTACCTTGTTTGAGGGTGAGTTTTTAGCTGCTCTTTTATTTATAGATTTATTACATTTTTTGGTTAATTAGGTGTTTTCTAGTGGCGCTATCCATACCCTAAACTAACAAAAGATGGTACCAAGTAGAAGGTGTCCCCCTGCCCCCCTGTTCTAAAGGAAAAAGAAAGCAATATATTATATACCTGATAGAAAAAAAAGGAAACTTGGATATTATTATCTCCATCCAAGTCCAAAAAAATCCTTGCTTCCAAAACAGAAAGAGGGCATAGAGAAGAAAAGGAAGGTGAAAAAAGGAAGAAAAGGGAACTGGCAGGGGATGGGAAAAGAGAAAAAAAAGGGAAATTGGGAGGGGGAAAATATGTCCCAGCATCCTTGCACCTCACTCTTCCTCCCCCTTAGAGGAGCAGTGATTCTGGTCAAAAGAAGTCAGCATGTTATATGACACCTTCTATGATTCTGTGGCCATCATTGTCATGTTGCATTGTTGATTCCTTTAGTTAAAAAAAATGAAAAGAGGAATAAAAGAGGAATGAGGGCAGCATGTAGGATTCAATTCATTATTCCCAAATTTTATGAAATTTGGCCATCTTGTTTTGTCTCACAAGTAATTTTTTAAAAAAATCATCACTTAAAAGACTCCGTGCTTGGGGTCGGAGTCGATTGGGGTTTTCCGGGCTTTTGCTATAATGATCTTAGTTACTGTGAGATTAGGTGTAGCAAATCGAAATTAGGTGTTAGTGCATTCCTCGGGTTTTCGGTTCAAAATGGTCCTTGTGAAAGCATTTGCAGGTAACTGTACGGAGCATTTGGCACATCCTAGTCCAGAGCTATTTCACTTTAGGGCAGTCTTACCAGATATGTTTTAAGGAACCATCTATATGACATCACCGAAAGCACTTGGAAGAGTCGGTTGGAATTGCATGCAAGATTCTTAAGGGAACAAGGTGCCATCAAAGGAAAACCTTTTAGTTCACCTCTACTGCTAATACCCGAGTGGAGCTCTTGGCTACATTTGTCCATGTTCAAGTCCAGTCCTCTGGTGTTTCCTAACTCTTTGTCCCATTTGACCACATAGAAAGGGAGAGCAGTCGATGCTGACGCTGACAAAAGAGTGTGTACCAGAGATGTGATGCCATGGCCACCTGGCCTTTTCAAGAAAATGCCTTCGCGTTAAATGTATTTTTAATAACCACTTCAACTATATGTCTTTAAAAGGAGGATTGGTGGCCACAGTGTTCTCGACTGACATTTTTAAAGTGGCTATAAAGCCTAAACATATTTTTCCTGAATGCATTCCTTACATTAAGGTAAAAATTGTTTAAGCTTGAGTATCACCTCCTTAACCCCCCTCTCCCTTTTACTTACCCGAGCCTTCATTTGATCCAGCGCTGTACACGTCTGCAGCTCTTCTCTCCCCTCACTTCCAGGTCTCACAGGCTTTGCTGAGGCAGTGGGAGACATTGGCTTCTGCTGCTGTCAATCAAAGCCAGTGACAAGGGAGCTGGGTGCGGGGCTAAATCCCAATGTTTGTGTTCACAGACTCAGACAGTGGTGCTCTGGAGTGAGCATGCAGGTGGGCCCCCATAGGAAGCGTTTTCCTATGCGGCACCACCAAAAAGAGGAGGAGCCAGGAACGGCAGTGCGGGACCCAAGAAGAGGGCGTTCGGGGACGGTCTGTGCAATTCCATTGCACAGAGCAGGTAAGTATAAACCTGTTTGTTATTAAAAAGAAAAAACTATTTGTGTTTACAATCACTTCAAATGGCACTGTGTTTGCATTACATGAATATAAGCATTGTGTTTACACAATCCCTGCCTGTCATTAGACAGCACTAATCACCAGGCAAAATGCACAGAGCCCATCAGATTGGCTTTGTGCCTGGTGATCACTGTGAAATCACAAATGTAAATGGTACTACTGTTTACATTTGAGAGCCCTCCCCTTCCTCTTACAAGGTTAGAAAGGGAAGGAGGAGAATTTTCATTAATGAAGGTAGGCAGCAGCCAATTCAAGGTAGGGATGGGGATTAATAAATATTATCGTGGAATTGTTTTTTTAACCCCTACACTGCCCTTGCTCTCATGTACATCTCATATGTATCCTCATGTTGCACATTTCCCCTTTCAGCTCCATCCTCCCACTATATGTGATCTTTACATTAACCCCTTCACCAGCTCCTCCCACTGTATATGGATTGCACATGAATGTTCTGTATCTAGTGCAACATTACCAAGCCCCCTCAATACCAGCATTTCTTTTATTTCCAGAAAGTTTTGGCAAAAAAATTAGATCATCTTAGGGTGTCTGCTTTCCCCCCCAAAAAATAGTTGGCGTTGTTTGTACTGTCCTGGCATTCTTATTTGCTATGTTTTAGTACAAAAAAACAAAAGGAACTTATTTCTCAAAATGCTTAGTCTTTTTCCCTTTTTATAGAAAATAAAAATGGATATTAAATACTACTAAAAGAAAGTTGTATCTGTCTAAAAAAATATATTTGGGTAGAGCATTGCATGACTGAGTAAATGTCAGTCAAACTGTCACAGCAGAAATTAGGGTTCATCTGTTGCTGCTGCTTCCCTCTCCAATCTCAGTGAGCTTTTACAAGGCTGTATTGCTTTAACTGCATTATAGAACAATAATGCCAGAACATGGCTGTGCTGTTTGATAGAGATAACCAGATTGAGAAACTGGCTGAAAGAAATTACACATAATTGACAGATTCACACTATATATATGAACTGTGATTGTAACTGCTTGCCTTTACTTTCACTTTAAGGATCAGTGTAATGATTTACTTTAATTTAAAGGAGATTTATATAGTTAAGTAAATACTGTTCTGGGTTAAACAAGCATAAAAACTAAGTAACATACAACCCCAATTCCGAAAAAGGTGGGATGCTGCGTAAAATGCACATTAAAGCAGAATGCAATTATTTGCAAATCTTATAAACCCTTATTTTATTCACAAGAAAATTGAAAACATATCAAATGTTTGAACTGAGAGAATGTACCATTTGAAGGAAAAAAAGAAGGTAATTTTGAAATGAATGGCAGCAACACATCTCAAAAAAGTTGGGACAGGGCCACGTTTACCACGGTGCTGCATCCCTTCTTCTTTTAACAACACTGTAAATGTCTGGGAACTGAGCAGACCAGTTTCTGAAGTTTTGGGAGAGGAATGTTGTCCCATTCTTGCTTGATATAAGAGTAACTGCTGAACAGTCCTGGGTCTTCTGTGTTGTATTTTTGTTTTTCAAGATTATCTAAATATTTTTATATGGTGAAAGGTCTGGACTGCAGGCAGGCCAGTTAAGTACCCGGACACTTCTACTATGAAGTCATGCTGTTGTCATAGATACAGATTGTGGTTTAGCATTGCTAAATTTGCAAGGCCTTCCCTGAAAAAGACATTGTCTGGATGGGAGCATATGCTGTTCTAAAACCTGGATATATCTTTCAGCATTGATGGTTCCTTTCCAGATGTGCAGGCTGCCCATTCCAGATGTACTAACACACCCCCATACCATTAGAGATTTTGAACTGAGCGCTGATACCAAGTCAGTAGTTCTTTCCTCTTTAGTCTCAACATACATTTTTGGATGGCACAGCAATCTGTGTTCACATACTATGATTTTTAGGAGTATTCCTGAGCCCATGCAGTGATGTCCATCACAGAATCATGCCTGTTTTTAATGCAGTGCCGTCTGAGGGCCTGAAGATTAGGGGCATCCAATATTACATTTTAACCTTGTCCCTTGTAGAAAGAGATTTCTCCAGATTCTTGGGATAATTTGATAATATTATGTATATCATTATATTATGTGCTGCAGTTGGTGATATTATTATTATTATACAGTATTTATAAAGCGCCGATAGTTCGCTCAGCGTTGTACATTACAAAGGGGGACAGAACATGTGACAGAACAATAACAATACAATGCAAAACATGAGGGGATTGAGGGCCCTGCTCTTTCGAGTTTACAATCTAGGAGGGAGGGGATGGTGGCACAGGAGGAGATAGCTGTGGGGGGTGGAGTGGTAGGAAGAGTGGAGGAGGTCGGCAAGTTAGCAGGGGGTGGGGTAGGCTTCCCTGAAGAGATGGGTTTTCAGGGTGCGCCTAAAGGAGAGGAGAGTAGGTGATAAGCTGATGGGTTGGGGCAGGAAGTTCCAGAGGATGGGTGACACCCTGGAGAAGTCCTGGAGGCGGGCGTGGGAGGAGGAGACCAGGGAACTAGAGAGAAGGAGGTCTTGTGAGGAGCGGAGTGTGCGTGATGGGTGGTACTTGGATATTAGGTCAGTGATGTAGTTCGGGGCAGTGTGGTGGACGGCTTTGTACAGCAGTGTTAGGATTTTGAATTTGATCCGTTGCGCAATTGGAAGCCAGTGGAGGGATTGGCAGAGGGGGGTGGCGGTTGGGAGCGGTTGGAAAGGTGAATGAGTCTGGCTGCCGTATTCAGGATCGACTGAAGCGGGGATAGCCAGCGGCGAGGCAGGCCAGTAAAGGAGGGAGTTGCAGTAATTGAGTCGTGATATGATGAGGGAGTGGATGAGCTGTTCAGTGTTTTCTGGGGTTAGGAACGTGCGTATTTTGGCGATGATGCGGAGGTGGAGTCTGCACGAGCTTGTTAAAGATTGGACTTGGGGCTGGAAGGATAGGTTGGAGTCCAGAATGACACCAAGTACTCTAGCCTGCGGGGCGGGTTTGATGGTGGCGTTGTTGAACATGATGGAGAAGTCAAGGGGGGGGGGTGGTGTCCGGGCTGGGGGGAAGACAAGAAACTCGGTCTTGGAGAGGTTCAGTTTAAGGAAGTGGAGCGACATCCAGTCTGATATGTTGCTCAGTAGGTGTGTGATTCGGGCAGAGGCTGAGGGGGTGAGGTGGGGGGTTGAGAGATAGATTTGTGTGTCGTCGGCATATAGGTGGTAGTTGAAGCCATGAGAGTGTATGAGTTGGCCAAGGGAGGAGGTGTAGATGGAGAAGAGAAGGGGCCCGAGGACGGAGCCTTGAGGGACCCCAACAGAGAGGGGGAGTGAGGGGGAGGTGGTAGCATTATAGGTAACGCTGAAAGAGCGTTGGGACAGGTAGGATGAGAGCCAGGAGAGAGCAGAATCTCTGAGGCCAAGGGAGTGTAGTTTTTTGAGGAGGAGGGGGTGGTCGACTGTGTCGAAGGCCGCAGAGAGGTCAAGGAGTAGGAGCACTGAATAGTGGCCATTAGCTTTGGCGGTTAGCAGGTCGTTGGAGAGTTTGAGTAAGGCAGTTTCGGTGGAGTGTAGGGGACGGAAGCCGGACTGTAGGGGGTCGAGGAGGTTGTTGTCGTTGAGGTGAGAGCATAGGCGGGTGTAGACGAGGCGCTCGAGGAGTTTGGATGTAAATGGGAGCAGGGAGATGGGTCTGAGGTTGTTTGGGTCATTGGGGTCCAGGGAGGGCTTTTTAAGTATGGGGGTGATGTGTGCATGTTTCAGAGGGGAGGGGAAAGAGCCGGAGGAGAGGGAGAGATTAAAGATGAAGGTGGGGGAGCGTAGGATGGAGGGGGAGGGAGGTCGTAGGAGTTGTGAGGGGATAGGGTTGAGGGGGCAGGTGGTGAGGCGGGCATCAGAGAGGATCTTGGAGACTTCCTCGATGGTAGTAAGGTCAAAGGTGTGAAGTGTTGGGGGGGCTTCAGTATAAGGAATGAAGGGTGGGTTGGAAGTGGAGGTCAGAGCAGTGGTGGGGCCGTGGGAGAGGGGAGATGAGGGGGTAGCTGAGTGAGGGGGAACGGGGTTGGAGGGAGTTTGAGCAGCGATGAAGTCCCTGCGGGTTATGTCGAGGAAGAGGGAGGATGAGGGGGTAGCTGTATGAGAGGGGATAGGTTGAGAGGGCGTGTGAGTTGCGGCGATGTCCTTGTGAATTGTGTCAATCTTGTTTTTAAAGTGATTGCCAATCTCAAGGGCAGTGGGTGAGGTGCTGGGTGGAGGTGGGGGTGGCGAGAGTAGAGAGTTGAAGGGTGGAGAAGAGTCGGCGAGGATTGGAGGAGAGGGCCTTGATGAGGGTCAGGAAGTAGGCTTGTTTGGCTGCGTGGAGGGAGGAGGTGTAGGTGTGGAAGGCAGTTTTGTAGCTGGTGAAGGCTTGTTGGGATTTGGTTTTGCACCATAATCGCTCCAGGGCACGACTGTGTCGTTTGAGGGTTTTGGTGTGATAAGTCTGCCAGGGCTGGAGCGGTCGGGGTCTGATGTTGCGTGTGGTTAAAGGCGCTAGTGAGTCAAGGGCTGTTGAGAGCGCGTTGTTGTAGGCGGTCATAGCCAAGTCGGGGCAGGACAGGGGTAGGATGCTGTCGTGGAGTTGATCAGCTGCAGAGTGGAGGGGGGCAGGGTGATATATTTAAACTCTTTGCAATTTTATTGACGGACATTATTATGAAATTGTTTGACAATTTTTAGATGCAGTTTTTAACAGATTGGTGAACCTCTGCCCATCTTTACTTCTGAGACACTCTGTCTAAGATGCTCTTTTTATACACAGTCATGTTACAGACCTGTTGCCAATTAACCTATCTAGTTGCAAAATGTTCTTCCAGCTCTTGTTAGTTCCACTTACATTGCCAGTTTTCTGTTGCCCTGTCCCAACTTTGTGACATGTTGCTGCCATCAATTTCAGAATGATCCTATTGTTTTTCTACAGTTGGACACTTGCTCAGTTTAAACATTTGATATGTTTTCGGTTTTCTCTTGTGGATAAAATATGCATTCTGTTTTTATGTAGACTTAACACCGTGTCCCAATATTTTTGAAATTTGGGTTGTAAAGTATACATATACTAACATTTTATAATCAAATAAAGTCAAAACAAAGCTATGTACTTTTTGAACAATCCCTTTTGTAATGAAAGTAAAGATTTTATATGGCATTTGTATGTTTGATTGTTTTGTACCATGTTCATTGCACCAATTATTAGAAATAACTTCACCTTGTAGTTTTCTGTCCAAAGTTTGCCTTTCATCAGAGTCTTTCTCTTCTTGGATTTTGTAAAAGTTCCCCAAGTTTGTATAGGCTAGATCTGGGTTCCACCTACAGTCTGAAAACTGACCTAAGTGTGTGTTTTGTGTTATTATAACTGGGATATTAGAAAGCTAAATGATGCAGGATAGCTGTTGACCATCAGTAATGTGTGGACCAACAGTTGCAAATAACATTGCTTTTATTTGCATGTCTTTGCATTAATTATTTTTAGGAGGGTAACAAAAAAATTTAAAATGTCATTTTTTCCCACTATGTGACAGAGGGTGAAGTTCCTGAAAGTGCAGTGCTGGTTTTCGACATTGAGCTATTGGAGTTGATACCAGGTCTACCTGACGGCTACATGTTTGTGTGGAATGGAGAGGTGTCAAAGAACCTGTTTGAAGACATTGACAAGAACAGTAATAAGGAGATACTCCTAGAAGAGGTAAGCATCAAAGCTGCATGTCTATATACAAATATTACATTACCAGAGTAAAAAGACTATGAAAACAGAATCATGACACGCTAAAATAATGTATTGCCAGATACAGCAATACTACTTAAGATAAAAGAACATTTTAGGATAAAATTCATTTGTTTTAGTTTTATACATATTCCCAATTGACAGACCCTCTTTTTATTTGTTCCTTTTAACAGACTCATCTTCAGTTAAAAAAAAAAAAAACCTGAGAATCTCATTTGGTAATTCGTGATTATTTTAACAATGATATTGGGTTTTTGTGAGCAAAATGTGGGATGAATAGGCAGCTCTGCTTACGAAGACAAAACACTACTTTAACACTTTAAAAATTAAATAGGGCTGAATGATGGAAACAGAATAGTCTCTATGGGGTTTTTTTTTACAATGCACTTGTATATTAATTGCTACATACAGTATTTGATATACAGTGCTTTTATAAAGTATTCACACCCCTTCGCTTTTTTCAGTTTTGTTATGGTATAGCCGGATACTACAGTTGTTTACATTCCTTTTTTTTCCTCATCAATCTACACTCAGTACCTCATAATGACAATGCAAAAACAACATTTTAAAAATGTCTGTGAAATTTTTTAAAATAAAAAACTGAAATATCACATTGGAATGCGTATTCAGATCCTTACAGCAACACTTGAAATTTAGCTCAGGTGCCTCCCGTTTCTCTTTATCGTTGCTGAATTGTTTCTACACCTTGATCGCAGTCCACCTGTGGTAAATTACATTGATTGAACATGATTTAGGAAAGGCACACACCCCTCTATAAAAGGCCTCACGTCTGACAATGCATACTGTATCAAAGCCATGAGGTCAAAGGAACTGCTTTGATAGCTTAGAGATAGGATTTTTGCAAGGCACAGTTCTGGGGAAGGCTACAAAAAATATTCTGCTGCACAAACATGATGGGCTTTTGCAGACACCAAGCTGGCTTGCACTGAGGAGAAGCTTCCATCTAGCCACTCTGTCATAAAGCCCAGATTGGTGGAGGGCTGCAGTGATGGTTATACTTCTGGAAATTTGTCCCTTCTCCACACAGGATCTCTGGAGCTCAGTCAGTGTGACCATTGGATTCTTGGTCACCTCTCTTACTATGGGCATTTTTCTCCCTATTGCTCAGTTTGGCCGGGCGACCAACTCTTTGAAGAAATTTAGCACAACCAGGACTCTTCCATTTGTGAATTATGGAGGCCACTGTGCTCTTAAGAACCATCAGTGCAGCAGAAATTTTTTGTAGTCCTCCCCATGTCTGTGCCTTGCAATAATCCTGTCTCTGAGTTCTGCGGGGAGTTTCTTGGACCTCATGGCTTTTGCTCTGATACAGTATGCATTGTCAGCTGTTGGGTCTTTTATAGAGAGGTGAGCGCCTTTCCAAATCATGTCCAATCAATTTAAATTTCTTCACTTTTGTCACAGGAAAACTTTTTTTTTTTTAATCCAAACAACTTTTATTGTCAAGATAACAGTATAACATTTAAAAACAGTAATGTACTGTTGGGGAAAGTATACTGTCTGCGCCAAATGCAGAGATACTAGTCAGCTGTGGAAACCACCACAACTGTACAGGTGAGTTGTTTGCTTGTTGCCTTGGTTTAGTTTTGTGGATCCTCCAAGTAGTCAGTTACTTCCTTTCCACTGTAAATATTTTGTTGGATTGGCCCAAAGAGGTGGCTAGGAGATGAAAGAACTTCAGTTTGTAACTGTTTGCCCTTACGTGATAAATATGGAAATTACAACAATAGCAATCCCTGGTGCAGCTAAATATTGCTAATTTCCATTGTGATATCCTAAGTCCCAAATGCTAGCATTCTAAAATATTCTTGTTGAATAAAAGAAGAATGGACTCCTTGCACTTAAGGTCCAGTAAATTGCAAGTACTAAAGAACCATAGCAACTTAACCACTTCCAGACCGGACACTTTTACCCCCTTCCTGACCAGGGCAATTTTCAGCTTTCAGCGCTATCACACTTTGAATGACAATTGCGTGGTCATGGAACACTGTACCCAAATGAACTTTTTACCATTTTTTTGAGACAGATAAAGCTTTATTTTGGTGGTATTTATTCACCGCTGGGATTTTAATTTTTTTTTGCTATGTAAATGAAAATGTCCAAAAATTTTGAAAAAAGTTTTTTTTTATAACATTTTGTAAATAAATAATATTTTATCACAAATCTTGGCCAAAATATATTCCGTTATCTTTTTAGTAAAAAAAAAAAAAATCCAAATTAGTTTATAACCAAAAATGATAATTTTTAAACATTTTTTTTTACATTTTTTTATATTATTATTTTTTATTTTTTTTTTTACATACTGTCACCCTAGGAGTACAGTGTCACCATGGTGACACTGTACTACTTGTGGGGGGTGATGAATATTTTTTTTTTTTTTACACTGATTGCTTTTATGCCCATATAGGATGTAAAAGCAATAATTTCTCTTTCTCTCTGTCTGCATTCTTGCAGTCATTAAGAAGTACTGAGTGAGCTGTGATTGGTCACAGCTTGTCACATGGTACAAGGCTGTTGTGAATAGCCTTGTACCATGTGACCTCTGTGATCATTCACAGACTTCACACGTAGTAAGCAATGATGTCACAAGTGACATTTTGCTTACTACTTTGCATGTGATCACTGATTGGCCAATCAGTGATCACATGATCGGGACCTCGTACAGAGGTCCCGTCCGACGATCGGTGTTTCACTGTGTCCGGAGGACACAGCGGGCACCGGATCGCGGTGCTGTGCGCTCCCAGGGAGCGTGCACAAGCAGGGTGCGGGGAGGCCATTTATAAACGTCCACCCGAACCTGCACTGCCACCGTCTGGCCGTTTATATGCAACGGCCGGTCGGGAAGTGGTTAAAATGCAACTATACTCACCTAAACGCTGACATCTTCGGACTGCTAGCTTCCGTGTCTTGATTGCTGTGGTCATTGGCTGGGCAGGGATGACGTCAGTTCTTTTCTATACCCACTGTATGCGTAGAAATAAGGAACTGTGATCAGGGCATGCGAGGACCTGTCCTAGTGCAATACATGTGTACTTGTTTAATTATACTAAAATCAATGGTTCTACTCAGAAATGGTGCATACTATGCTGGACTTGTCTTACCATGCACAGCTCTACCGGCAGTGGAGGGGAGATATGTGCCATTTTTGAAGATTTTTATAGAGTATAACCATTGATTTTATTAGGATTAAATGTTTATTCATAGAATACACTCAGTCTGTGTGTCCTGTTGTCGGTTTTCCTGGTTTCTAATATATTCTTACTCAGACCCTAAGCTGCACTCCACAGCTTCATTAGAAATTACCCAGTGCTTTTTTGCATTCCATTCCTTGATTTTGTATTTCACCCATTGTTTACCCTTTTACTTTACTATTATCACCTGTCAGTCCTTTAATTCTGTAATTCCTTCCTTGGGGCCAGTCCTTGCCTTAACATGTTACATTTTTGTTTGACCCGTCGGCTAGCCATAGATATAGGACATTGGTTGCCAGACTTGTGAAAGAGCTCTCATACAAAAGGACTTTTTATTAACAGTCATTATCTCGATAGAAAGTGATTTACACATGCTGTAAGGTCAGAAAAAATGAATGATGCTTCCAAGAACCAGACCTGTCGGGAGCTCAAAATGCATGTGCAAGTCATAGCTTAGAGACCCTATGAGCAGAATAAACTGTATATATATTTTATATTAGTAAAATGGTGGTTTATATGCAACTAATAATGTCCCCTCTAGATAATGATTTTAATACTTTTTACCTGCTGTAACTCTGAAATGAAACACTTCTGGGTATGTCAGTCTGCTCTTTCTGGCTGTCTTTTGCTGTTGCTGCCCCTACCTGTGACAGCTGAGCAGGTGGTGTGCAGGAGATCTGATTCAGATTACAGCCTTAGCATATGCAAAAAAATATATTGTGTGCTGGAGAGTATCTTCTGACCACAGCCTGGGTTCTCTTGAGCACATGATCTGAGGCTGTGCTTGGGAACTGCTGACGTGCACACAGTCTCAGGGCATGGATTTGATAGCCGAGGTTGTATATAAACAAAGGTTGAATAGTACATGTAGAAAATTGGGTATCTATATACGAAAAGATAACTACAAAAGTACAGAAAAGCGAACAGATCTTATGCAATAAAAAAATGTAACATTTATTTTATGAAACCAAAATGGCAACACGTATATGTACAGCTTGTACTGGTTCATATCAAGCTGGCAAGGTACAGCTCTTTGTAAGCCTGCTCGCCTGATGAATAGCAGGGCTGGAAATGAATGTAGCTGCTGGCACTGCTGCAGATGAGCTCTGCCCACAGATGACAGATGCAGTGGCAATCGGAATCACTTGGTTGCACCGAGATGGAAAAGTGGGTGCAGGCTGTGTACAAGTGTGGGTCCTGACAGTGAGGCAACACGTTGAGGATGCTCCTCTTTCTCAAGCTCCTTAAGGGGAGATTCAGATCACTGCTGCATCTGTCATCTGGAAGTGATTCTGATCTTTGGATTTCACTGGCTGTGGTGAGCAGGCTTACACAGAACTATATCCTGCCGGCTTGATCTGTACCAGTACAAGCTGAGCATATGTGAGTTGCCATTTTTGTTTTATAAAATAAATGTTACATTGTTTATTGCACAAGATCTGTGCTCTTTTCTCTGCTTTTGTCATGGTCTTATAGGTACTCCTAACCATAGCTCCAGCAAACAGAGCACTCAGGCTGTGCTCAGAAGCCAGTCTACTGCATACAGCCTCAGCCATCCTTGTTTGCATTGGCTGAGGCTGTGATCTTCAGCTGTCAATTTCATTCCCTGGGGACAGCAGGAGAGCAGCTTCTGCACACATAATCAGCACATAAACAGAGGGTGTTTAGACTGTGTTCAGAAGCAGTTTCCCTGTGATCCCCTCCTTCTCAGCTCCTTTTATTGTCTTTCAGAATGGTACTGTACCCCTCACAATGATGATCCATGTAATAATTGCTCCCACATTTATAAAATAAAAGTGCATTTATCACCTTTTTGCATTGTAGTCTGCAGAGTATTGCAACTGAGATCACTGCATTGCATGTGCCGTATACAGACTTCAGACCCCTTTCAGGTTTAAAGCATTGTGATATCACCACACTTGTGCACCATGCTGGCCTGTTGGATCAATCTCCCAGCATTTACCATTTTCTTCCCCCTTTCCAAAGCTTGCCTACTCAGAGCCACACACATGCCACAGGAAAACTGCTCTTGCAAAGAGTCTAGCGCAATTTGATTACATATGCTGGGGCTGTGTTCAGTAGCAATTCTACTGTACATGACTTTAGGTTTGTCAGTAAAGCACTCTTTTATGAAGAGAAAACATATAGAATTTATTCTGGTGACAGAGTCTCTTTAAATGGGACTATGGACTCTCCCTATGTGAAAGTTATGGTGGTGCCTTGCCTTAGTACTGTCATATGGAGTGAGTCACATGCTCATCTATACCAAGCAGCTAGAGTCCAGGGGTAGGCAACCTGAGAGCCGCAGGACTACAAGTTCCATCATGCCTCTGCAAGTCATAGCTGTAACTGTCAGTTTTGTAATCTTTGCAATGCCTCATGGGAAATGTAGTTCCACAACAGCTAGAGAGCCGCAGGTTGCCTACCCCTGAGCTAGACAGTTGTAGGGAACTAAAAGAAAGGTGCTGTACGGCAGGAGAGGATTAAAGTGAACCTGTTGAGGCTACCTGACATTTAAGTAAGTGAACATCGGGCTAAATCAGCCATCACTAAAAATTGGGCTGTGGTCCAGACCCAGACCGAATAACTGTCTTATCCAGACATGCCAACCGGTCCCCAGTGCAGCCACCCCCCACCTCTGCAGTGATTGGTGGTTATGACATCTAACAACCAATGACATCATATGCTTGCCCCGCGCCCAGGATCATAGGAGGAAAGATGGTCAGACTTTGTCTAGACCTGCAGCCTGACGTGCCTCCCACCCTATGCCTAGTACTAAAAGGTAGTGGCACGATGATGGGGACACCTGATGTAAGATTCAGACCACTGCTGGGAGAAAATTGTAAGAAGGGCACCTTCTAGAATTATAATTTAATTTGCTGATTACTAGATGTTCATAGTATGTGAAATGTTATTATGAAAGTGGAAAAAAACTCACAAGTCAATGTTTTCAGTTTTCAGACTATATTAAAGCCCAGGTTGATGCTGGGAAAGGAAAACTGGCCCCTGGGTTTGACGCCGACAAGATTATTGAGAACATGTACAGAAATCAAGACCGGAATCAGGATGGCAAAATTACAGAAGCTGAGTTTTAAGTTGAAAGAGCAGGAGGATAAAGAGAGACATGATGAACTGTAATCTTTCAGCAGATTTTGTGTCTGTATGCACTGTGAAAATGTCTTGTGACAGAACACTCATTTGTTTGGATATGTTTATGGGAATCTAAAGCAGTTTGTGCAGTTTGTTTATTGTGAGAACACAGGCACAAAAGTGAACTATATTAAAATGGAAAGCCAGCCCAATTTTTATTTTTTTTGGGTATTGTGGACTTTGGAACAGCATGACAGTCAGGCAGCTGACATTTGCAAAAGGATAGGTCAACAAGGACAGCCTAAATATTCTTTCAGTACTTGTTTCCTTTAAAAAAATTCTGAAAAAGACTAGTATTATTTATATAGGGATTTCTTCACAACTACTTTAGTAGTTAAAGTGGTCCTTGCACACAAAAGCAGTATTACAGTTTAAAAATAGTATTTTTTTTAAAAAAAAGCCCATGGGAATAGAAGTTAGTAAACATAGTTGCCTTATCTCAGATTCTGTACTGCAGGAGGTGATGCCACAATCCTTCTAGTGAAGCTGAATAGCCCAAATGTTACTTGTGCACTGTGCTTTAACTGCCCGCCTGCAAAGTTTGGACTACCCAGCATTCCCTGGGTTCTCGCTGAAGAATGGTGATGTCACACTGGCCTAGGGAGCTGTGGGCAGAAGCCAGGAGTAAGGTCAAGGTGTGTGTATATATAACCTTGTATATATGTTCTTGTTTTTGGTGCAGCATTTGCATTTGGATTGGGATGGGGGTTGTAGGGGCAGCGGATTTTGCTTTAAACATGACATTGCCAGGATTCTTGTCAAGGCCTAATGTTTTGGAGGAAACAACGGTCACCCTTGTCAGTGTTGTACTACAGTAACGGATTTGATTCTTGGTTTCATTCTGTCCTACATGCAATGGGTTAATATGACTGGTTGCTACGAAAAGTAGAATAACAGTCTAGTCTGGATTTAAGCACGGTTTGTGGGCATGTGTGGCTGCCTACTACTATAACTGCATTTTAGGATGTTTCAGTAAGGCTAGATTTATATTGTAGCAGTATGTTATTTAGCATGCTAATGTGCAAAGGCAGTTCTTTCATTTGAATGCGCTAACGCAGCATAAAGGGTGCATGCAGTATTTCTTGTAATGCAGTGCACTATAACCCAAGGCAGTGCATTACTGTGCATCTGCTGTGGTGACAAGGTGCTATTAAGAATGAATGGCTCCGCACTGCACCAACGTGTTTCCCCAGTGCAACCGTATAAATCCAGCCAAAAGGACCCAAGCAATGAATGTGATTGTTCTGTTAGTTCAATGGTCCAGAAGATTGCTATGCTCTGGAGATTGGCACCTGAGGATTATCTTTATTGGAAGCCAGGAACCCTCACTTTGCTAGCTGGCTTTGAATTGTTGCTAATTCATTTCCAGTATAATGTGTTCACGCAGACACATCTACTTTTTAAAAAAACATTTGCCTGATTCCCATTTAAAGTAGAACTTCACTCTCCCAGTCAACATGGACAGTTTTTAATCCATATGCTGCTAGCATTAGAAAGTATATCATATTTACCTGTTTTAACATTTCTTCAGTTACTACCTGGTTTTCATGCCTAGGCAAATGATTTCATACATCCCAGGAGGGAGGGTTCCCAGCTCAACCAGTGCCTGAGCCAAGGGCAGATTATTTCCAGGAAGTAAATGCTTCATGAATCATCTGCCCTTACTCAAGATGGTCACTGCCAGGGGGTGTTTTTCAAAGTGATTTCTCAGCAAAATAAAGCATGGAGACATGGATGGATGGCTAAGTTTGCTTTGACTATTATGAATTATACAGCATTTGTGGTTTGTAGTGCTCAGCTGCAGTGCGGTTCCACTTTAAGTATTTCTGTATCTAATACCGTTTCTTTAACCCACTGAAAGAGGGAATTTATTATAAAGAACAATTGGGGTCAATTCACTAAAGGTTACCTCATGCAATAACAAGGTCACGTGACTCATTTGCATAAATTATCACATAAGATAATAAGTGTCAGTTCATCAAAGTAAAATATCGAATGTGAGGTAAATACTGCACCTTTGTTAAAATAGTGAGATAAATACTTCAAAAAAAACATGAAATAAATCATTAAAGCCAATTCATTAAAAAAAAAAACACACATTCATTATTTATCACCTGGTGTTTGCTGGCCGTATTTGAGAAATATACAAAATAACAATTAGAGGAACTCTGCACTGGCCAGAAAGTGCAAAGTATACAATGTATCCGTGTAAAAATGTTCTACTCTGAGCTCAGGAATGAAAATAAATTGTAACATTTCATCAGAGTGAGATCATTTTGTGAATAAAAGCACACTACGTACAATGTTTTCATAGTTTCACAGTGTTGCTGTGTGCATTCTGGTGCAAGGTTAGCCTGCGAAAATAAATTGTGAAAAAAACACCACCAAAAAGAACTCAAAATGTAAGTGCTAAATATCGCAAAACATAAATATTTATAGCATTCGGTAAATAACGCATGTTTTTTAGTGAATTGGCTACTTTTGAAATAAATACCGCATGACTTATTTTAACTCAAAAATGTATGCGGTAATTATCTCTCAGTGAATTGACCCCAACGTGTACAACCTTTTCTGATGTGATTTTCGATCTTGGAATCATTCAGTTGTGGATATGAATGTTACTAGCTAATCAGAGAGGAAAAGATTGCTTTGGGGGGGTCCTGCCTGTCATATCCTTTCCTTTAAGTGCAATTATGGAATTAAAACTTTAGAAAACTGTGTATTTGTAAAAAAAAAAAAAAAAAATCACGTTGCTGTGTGATGTGTGCAAAAAAAAAAAAAAAAAACATGAACATTCAATGTGTCCGACTTCTAACCAAGCTTTTACAATGAACTCTTATAGTGGCTGTCAAGTTTTTACCACCCCCCTCTGCTCACTGGAGAGTGATTGTTTACATTGTAACCACATTCCAGGGTACTCCATCCCCTCCGGACAGGGAATTTAGCCCATACACAAATGTAAGCTACATAGAAATGGGATGGTTTGGGGCTCATATGTCATATAATTTAATGCCCATTGCCCAGCACTAGTCATCTCAGTTATGGATACAATGTTGGCTGTACAATTGTGAGCCAGATTGTGGCTTTCTGTAAACTGACTAAGAATTTTTTTTAATGATGGATATATTTGTTTTTGATAGGTGGGATGGGTAGAGTAATAAAGTAAGGCAATATTTCAGCTATAGGTAGTCATGTCATGTGCCAGTTTATAAAATTCTGTTAAAACACTGCAACTGAAGTTTGTCTTACTAATTTAGTTCTCAACTCAAAATAAAGTGTCTAAAATGTAATGAGTGCTGAAAGATACGTTTTGATAAATAAAATACTGATAAACTCTGCTTTAATTTTGTGCATTATATTGGGATATCAATAGCCACATGTTCAGCAATGCCATATTAAAGGTAAAGCTGGTCACCTTAGCATATAAAGATTATGCATGTAACATGCAATGCAGCACCATGTATTTTTAATAGCAAGGCACCTGTGTATTAGCACACCATAACACACAGTAGTGTGGAAATAAAGGGTATACCTTTAAAGTGGTTGTAAACCTCAGACATGAAATATGAACAAAACATATCCCTCTATTGTGTGTACTTGACTCAATTAAGAGCACTAAGTGCCATTTTTGTCTGCTGCTTTGTTCCTCTGCTGTCAGCATGAATCATTCTGACAACTTTTCCTGACACCAAGAGAAAAAAAAGATGATGGGGAGGGAGTTCCAGCACACAGCCTGTGATTGGCCTCAACTCTCTGTTCTTGTGTGCTGTATGAAGGGGGGGCGTGTCCAGTCACCCTCCAATCAGGACTGAGAACTCTCCCCACTCGAGAGCGCTACAGTGTGTAATTTCAGCTTTCCCCCCTTTTTATCTGGAATCTCAGACAAGCTGTATAAATTCTGCACTTTGAGCGGTTGTAGAGAACACTGCAGATAACCCGGTAAAACTTATGTAGGAGGGGTTGTCTCATCTCTGTGTGTCGCTTCACTGGGTATAAGGTTTTACAACTACTTTGCAGACCCTTTTACATGGGCGGACTCTGGCAAGCGGATCCGCCTGCTCTGCGGGGAATCTGTCCGCTGATCGCTGCTGAACAGGTGATGACAGGCCTCTGTCTGCATTTGTACAGAGTGAACACGGACACAGCCCGCTGTTCTCTATGGTGTGGTCAGATGTATACAGACAGCCTATTCATTTACATCCAAGTGACATACGTTCTGATCCCCTAGACCAGTGGGCTCCAAACTGCTTTTATCTGGCCCTTGGGGCATCATTTAATCCACTGACACCAACAAATTCCTCCCATTGATACCAACGATGGGAAACAATTCCAACCAATGACACCAATGCTGGGGCTCAGCTCATCCCAATGATACCAAGAATGGAGCCCAATGACACCATGCTGGGGCACAATTCCTCTCACCAACACCAAAGATGGGGCATTGTTTATTCCCACTGATGCCGGGATAGTTTCTGGTCCGGCACCCCTAAAGTCTGAAGGACAGTAAACTGGCCCTTTGCTTAGAAAGTTTGGGGACCCCTGCCCTAGACGGATGGGGAACGGATCCCCCATTGCATCTGTTCTTAGCTGATTGGATGCAGGCGGGTGTAAATGGACACGTCCGTTTACATCCACCTCCCCATAGAGAACAACTGGTGGTCTGAATGGGTCGGCCTGAAAAACGGACTGACATACCCAATTGGTCCATTTGTGTGAAAGGGCCCCAAATAGGAACTCTTAAAGCCCAATTTTATCTGCCATGCTGAGCATCATTCATCCCAGAAGAGGACTTTGGGGGACAGCACCAGGGAGAAGAGGAATATTGTAGACGGAGTAACAACTGGACTACCCATTTAAAAAAAAATACAACTGGAACTGAGCTAGAAGGATTAACTATACGAGCTGTAATTAGCACCTTTATGTCTGGTATTCTGTTTGTGACAAGCGTTAACACAGCCACTGTGACCTCATTGACTTCTATGGGGAAACCTTACTAACTACACTTACTGAATTAAAGACTTCTGCAGGTCCTGGTGGGGAAGATCCTTGACACAGGGCCTTATTGCATTGAGGACCCAAGTGGTGGAATTCACACTTCAGTCCCCCTAGCCCAAAGTTTTTTCTTTTACCCACAAAACAAACAAAAATAATAATTATATCAAAATAAATGAAATCAGTCAACATTTATAAGTGACATATTTTATAATGGAACATTCCAAAGCATACAAAACTGTACAAACAGCACTTCAGAACATGCACATTATTTGGCCTTTGGAGAATATGCTTGTACAAAATACAACAGCTAAACTGAATATGAAAATAAAACATACCATCTAGTATTTGCACAGACAGAATGAATGCCATTCTAGACCTGTGGTGAACCTGGCTTGCACACAGGCATTCCCATCTCTGCTGAAGGCGAAAGGCATTGTGGAGTAAAAAAAAAATATTTGTGGAGGTAAAGCAGCACAATGCTGAAAGTAAGGTGCTTTTAAATTCTAAAATGTTTCTATTAAATATGTTTAAATAAACAAAAATGAAGTAATTCTCCCTCTGCTCAGAGAACACAGCTGGTCAGTAGTGAGGGTCTAAGATCCAGTGAAGCTTACAGGATCTTCTGCAGTATTGAGTTGGCCACATCCAGAGATTCATCTTTCACTAAAACGATGTCATATGAGTTCATGTATTTCTCTAATAACTCTTCTACCTGTAGGCAAAGAAAAAGAAAATTAGAAAACAATCTACAGCCGAGTCTGTTAAAAAGTATTTGACTCTAAGTCGACGTCTCACACCAACCCTGTTCCTTTGACCTGTCCACGGCGATCACCCGCCCTAAGCTCTCTACCTTTTGTAAGCCCCCAGTACTACACTGCAAGCACACATCTGTATAAACAGTTAACATCCCGTTTGCACTTGTGGTTTATATTTGACAGATACATTCCAGGTTCACCAAAACAAAAGTCTTAGGCTAAGCTGACACTAATGGCAGTCCTTGTCATGCCTCTGAAAAGCAATACGCAGTGCATCGTGTTTCAGAGGCATTTGATAGGTGGCGAAGAGGCACTATGTTGCCTCCTCATTACTCATTTTAACCCCTTAAATGTCACACCACTAATGCTACAACCATTTACATTATACAGTTGTGCTCAAAAGTTTGCATACCCTGGCAGAAATCGTGACATTTTGGCATTTATATTGAAAATATGACTGATCATGCCAAAAAAATGACTTTTATTTAAGGATAGTAATCATATGAAGCCATTTATGATCACACAGTTGTTTTGCTTCTTTTTAAATCATAATGATAACAGAAATCACCCAAACGGCCCTGATAAAAAGTTTACATACCCTGGAATGTTTGGCCTTGGTACAGACACACAAGGTGACACACACAGGTTAATAGGGAAATGAATGGTTAATTTCTTACATCTGTGGCTTTTTAAAATGCAATTAATGTCTGTGTATAAATAGTGAATGAGTTTGTTAGCTCTCAAGTAGATGCACTCAGCAGGCTAGATAATGAGCCATGGGGATCAAAAAAGAACTGTCGATCAAAAAAGACCTGCATAACAAGGTAATGAAACTTTAAAGTAAAAATAAAAAACTAAAATAATATGGTTGCATAAGTGTACACACCCTTACACTAATACTTTGTTGAAGCAGCTTTTAATTTTATTCCAGCACTCAGTCTTTTTGGGTATGAGTCTATCAGCATGGCACACCTTGACTTGGCAAAATTTGCCCACTCTTCCTTGCAAAAACACTCCAAATCTGTCAGATTGCAAGGGCATCTCCTGTGCGCAGTCCTCTTCAGATCACCCCACAGATTTTCCATCAGATTCAGGCCTCGGCTCTGGCTGGCCATTCCAAAACTTTCCTTGTCTTCTGGTGAAGCCATTCCTTTGTTGATTTGAATGTATGCTTTAGGTCGTTGCCATGCTGAAAGATGAAGTTCCTCTTCATGTTCAGCTTTCTAGCAGAAGCCTGAAGGTTTTGTGCCAACACTGACTGGTATTTGGAACTGTTCATTATTCCCTCTACCTTGACGAAGGCTCCAGTTCCAGCTGAAGAAAAACAGTCCCAAAGCATGATGCTGCCACCACCATGCTTCACTGTGGGTATGGTGTTCTTTAGGTGATGTGCAGTGTTGTTTTTGCTCCAAACATATCTTTTGGAATTATGGCCAAAAAAGTTCAACCTTGGTTTCATCAGACCATAACACATTTTCCCACATGCTTTTCGGAGACTTCAGATGTGTTTTTGCAAAATTTAGTAGAGCTTGGATGATTTTCTTCTTAAGAAAAGGCTTCTGTCTTGCCGGATATTTCTGCAGCTCCTTTAATGTTGCTGTAGGTCTCTTGGCACCCTCCCAACCAGTTTTCTTCTCATCTTTTCATCAATTTTGGAGGGACGTCTAGTTCTTGGTAATGTCACTGTTGCGCCATATTTTCTCCACTCGATGATGACTGTCTTCACTGTGTTTCATGGTATATCGAATGCCTTGGAAATTCTTTGTACCCTTCTCCTGACTGATACCTTTTAACAATGAGATCCCTATGATGCTTTGGAAGCTCTCTGCAGACCATGGCTTTTGCTGTAGGATGCGACTAAGAAAATGTCAGGAAAGACCAACTAGAACAGATGAACTTTATTTGGAGTTACTCAGAGGCATTTTAAAATGATGGCAAGTGTGTACTGACTCCTATTTAACTTTTGATTTTGAATGTGATTGCTTAATTCTGAACACAGCTATATCCCCAGTTATAAGAGGGTGTGCACACTTATGCAATCACATTAGTTTTTTATGTTTACCCCCAACCCCCCTAAAAGATTTCAGTTTGTTTTTCAATTGAGTTGTACAGTTTATATGTCACATTAAAGGTGGAAAAAGTTCTGAAATTAGTTATCTTTGTGTAATTTTTTTACATCACAGAAACCTGATATTTTACTATATATATATATATATATATATATATATATATATATATATATATACATACATACATACATACATACATACATATATATACACAGACACACAGTGAGGAACAGGTATTTGAACACCCTGCGACTTTGCAAGTTCTCCCACTTAGAAATCATGGAGGGGTCTGAAATTCACATTGTAGGTGCATTCCCACTCTGAGAGACAGAATTTTAAAAAAAAGGAAATCACATTTTTAAAGAATTTATTTGTCTTGCACTGCTGAACATAAGTATTTGAACACCTGAGAAAATCAGTGTTAATATTTTGGCACAGAAGCCTTTGTTTGCAATTACAGAGGTCAAACGTTTCCTGTAGTTCTTGACCAGGTTTGCACACACTGCAACAGGGATTTTGGCCCACTCCTCCACACAGATCTCCTCTAGATCTGTCAGGTTTCGGGGCTGTCGCTGAGCAACACGGAGTTTCAGCTCCCTCCAAAGATGATGTTCTATTGGATTTAGGTCTGGAGACTGGCTAGGCCACTCCAGAACCTTGATATGCTTCTTACGGAGCCACTCCTTGGTTATCCTGGCTGTGTGCTTCGGTCGTTGTCATGTTGGAAGACCCAGCCACGACCCATCTTCAATGCTCTGACTGAGGGAAGGAGGTTGTTGCTCAAAATCTCACAATAAATGGCCCCATTCATCCTCTCATTAATACAGTGCAGTTGTCCTGTCCCCTTCGCAGAAAAGCACCCCCAAAGCATGATGTTACCACCCCCATGCTTCACAGTAGGGATGGCGTTCTTTGGATGCAACTCATCCTTCATTTTCCTCCAAACACGATGAGTGAAGTTTAGACCAAAAAGTTCTACTTTGGTCTGATCTGACCACATGACTTTCTCCCATGCCTCCTCTGGATCATCCAGATGGTCATTGGCAAACTTCAGACGGGCCTGGACATGTGATGACTTGAGCAGGGGAACTTTCCGTGCAATGCATGATTTGAAACCATGACGGCGTAGTGTTCTACCGACAGTGACCTTTGAAACTGTGGTCCCAGCTCTCTTCATGTCATTGACCAGCTCCTCCCTTGTAGTTCTGGGCTGATTTCTCACCTTTCTTATCATCAGTGATACCCCACGAGGTGAGATCTTGCATGGAGACCCAGTCCGAGGGAGACCGACAGTTGTTTTTAGCCTCTTCCATTTTCTAACAATTGCTCCAACAGTTGATCTATTTTCACCAAGCTGCTTGGCAATTGCCCCATAGCCCTTTCCAGCCTTGTGGAGGTCCACAATTTTGTCTCTGGTGTCTTTTGACAGCTCTTTGGTCTTGCCCATGGTAGTAGTTGGCGTCTGACTGACTGTGGGGTGGACAGGTGTCTTTAAAGAGCTCAGACAGGTGCTACTAAGTTAGATTAATGAGTGGAGTAGAGGTGGACTTTTTAAAGGCACAGTAACAGGTCTTTGAGAGCCAGAATTCTTGCTGTTTCTTAGGTGTTCATATACTTATGTTCAGCAGTGCAAGACAAATAAATTCTTTAAAAATCATACAATGTGATTTCCTGAATTTTTTTTTTAATTCTGTCTCTCAGAGTGGGAATGCACTTACAATGTGAATTTCAGATCCCTCCATGATTTCTAAGTGGGAGAACTTGCAAAATCGCAGGGTGTTCAAATACTTCTGTTCCTCACTGTATATATACACATATACATACACACACACACACACACTATACAAAAGTATTGGGACACCTGCCTTTACACAACATGAAATTTAATGGCTTCCCAGTCTTAGTCTATAGGGTACAATATTGAGTTGGCCCACCTTTTGCAGCTATAACAGCTTCAACTCTTCTGGGAAGACTGTCCACAAGGTTTAGGAGTGTGTCTATGGGAATTTTTTAACATTCTTCCAGAAGCGCATTTGTGAGGTCAGGCACTGATGTCGGATGAGAAGGCCTGGCTCACAGTCTCCGCTCTAATTCATCCCTAGCTATCCAGTTGAGGTCAGGACTCTGTGCAGGCTAGTCAAGTTCCTCCACCCCAAACTCACTCATTCGTGTCTTTATGGACCTTGCTTTGTGCACTGGTGTGCAGTCATGTTGGAACAGGAAGGGTCCATCCCCAAACTGTTCCCACAAAGTTGGGAGCATGAAATTGTCCAAAATATCTTGGTATGCTGACGCCTTAGGAGTTCCCTTCACCGGAACTAGGGGGCCAAGCCCAACCCCTGAAAAACAACCCCACACCATAATCCCCCCCTCCACCAAACTTTACACTTGGCACAATGCAGTCAGGCAAGTACCATTCTCCTGGCAACCTCCGAACCCAGACACGTCCATCAGATTGCTAGACAGAGAAGTGTGATTCGTCACTCCAGAGAATGCGTCTCCACTGCTCTAAAGCCCAGTGGCGGCATGCTTGCTTTACACCACTGCATCTGACGCTTTGCATTGCACTTGGTGATGTAAGGCTTGGATGCAGCTGCTCGGCCATGGAAACGAGAGAGAGAATAAATATATATATATATATACACACACACACACACATATATTTTTTTTTTTAAATACACATATAGTATGTATAAAATCATTTGCCTGAGGTTTTTCAGGGGACTATACCACATGTATCAGCCTTTGTTTTCAAGAGGGCTTAAAGGCAGCCATAGATGGATTAAATCTTGGCTGCTTCAGCAGAGACCGGCTGATATTCGATCCATCTATGGGCAGGCTGATTGTACCCAAGATCCATACAGTGATCTATTTTGGTACAACCAGCATGTTGGAAATTTAGCATGTGATGATTGCCAGAGGCTATAGCCGCTAGCAATAATCACTGTGTGCTACTGGAATGGACGGCTCCCTGCGCCATCCACCACCGCAACACGTTTTTGCAGGAAAGAAAATTGCATAGTCTATGGCTTACATAAAATAGAAGGCCCCCTACACATTTATCCATTTAGCAAGGACTTTTCAGTTGGAGGAAAATCAACCTACCTCCATATGCGTAATCTTTGGGAGATAGCTGAAGCATTTGAAAGCATTCCCTCCAAATATTACAACATGAAAACTCAATGCAGACTACAACCGAAGGGAAATTTAACATAAGCCCCTGGTGTAGGGAATTCATACAGCCTGACCCAACATGCCACCAGGTAAATAGATGTCATTTTTGTGTGTGTTGGTGGACTCAGTGTTCTCTTTCACAAGAGTTGCTGCACACAGGAACAAGACATTCCACACAAATATACTTGTTGGAGGTATGGATATCCCATATTGTTTTCGGGGATTACAGTGGGATTATGTTACCAGTTTAGATACCCTCTTAAAAAAAAAAAAAAAAAAAAAAAAAAAAAAAAAAAAAAAAAACCATGTGCAGAGAGAACATGTACTGCATAATGCGGACTTCTGGAAATGCTAGTTGCCTGGCTTTCATGGTGAATATTTTCTGAGACTGATCTAGAAAAAGCGTGATATCAGGAGTTCAAGCTGACTTCCTTTTTTTTTTTATTCTTTTTTTAAACTATTTTTTGTGCAGACAGGCATGGGAGAAACATTAGTCGGACAGTGACCAAACAAATTCAGCTCGAATGGTGCTTTGCAACAGAGAAAAATGCTCAGTAGCAGAAAACATATTCCATTATAATGACCGTCACTTATGAATGGCAGTAATGCTCTCACCATCTGGACTGTACTTCAATTTGTGAAACACATAAGAATGACTTTCCGATATGCATGCTTGTTCTGGGCTAGTGACTCTAATTAGACTGGCTGCAACAAAGCCTCCATATTTCCCACAGTACAGGTTTCCTGTATGATAATCTTTCCTATACTGTAAGAGCGCAGTATACAACATAACATGGATGCTCTAGGCCTCTCTTTGTCACTTACACAATGCCAAGGCACAAGCTAATTCAGAGGCGATTTGCTTACCTTATCATTAAGATATCCTATTTTGAGTATATTTTCGACATTTGATACACCATCAGCCATAGTTAAATCTCCTAGTGAGTCTCCCAGGAGAATGATGTTACTGTTATCTTTCAGCTGATTGAAGTATTCTGTTCTCTTCAAGGCACCATCATGTTTGTTGTAAACATGTATTAATTCACCTTTGAATCCCTTTATAACCCCCTGCAATTAAAAAGGGCTCAATTAATATTCAGGTGTAACTTTATCTCAATCATCTATAGAGAAGGCACGTTTGTCTACACAGTATTAACCCACAAAGCTTACTGTCCAGACAAATACTATACCAAGTATCTATAACCAAGAGACAGAGTCTGTTTCATTTATAAAAGATAACACTCCTAATAATATGTTAACATAATTATAGAATAAATAATAGAAAACCATAAATCCAAGGCAAACTCCTAGATTCTCAGCTTAAAGCTGCAAGTTGCTAAATACACAGTTGAAATACAAATACTGAATGTTTACAGTGTTACCTGCCAAAGTTGAAATTTGGTATTTTACACACTGCAATGTTGTTTCTAAATAAATAAATCATCTTTTGAGAAACATGAAAAGCAGTAAAGCAGACCCAGGAGGCTGTGAAGCAGAAACCAGGAAAGAGCCAAGTGCCCTCTATTGACTTCTAGGAATGTATGGATCACAAGAACGGCTGATCTGAATTACTGGTCAAAGACCATTTGGGGGCAGGAGGGAAGTGTGCGGTAAAACAGGAAGCCCACATACTGTATGGTCATGTTTATTTAGTGGTTTGCCCTACAATCAAAATGGTCACCTTCTCACCTCCAGGCTGGAAAATAATAGCCACTGAATTAATGCTGAAAGGGATGCTCAAAATACAAAAACATTAACAACAGAACTGCCCAGCTGCCTAAAGACTGGTCAACCTAAGTGTGAATGTTAAGTGGTAACTACAGTCCTTTTCTTGCAATTAATTTAAAGATTTAAATGATTGTGACCAATCTCATCAATAAGTGTAAATATCTTAAAAAAACCAGGTTTCTTTGTAAGGAATGTAATAATATACATAAATGAGGGAAAAGCCAGAGTTGCTTGTGGTCACTGGGAAGAATCCCCCCTTACAGATAGCTAAAAAGATCAATGTTGTCAGTGGGAACTTGTCTGAGAGGCAGACATTGCTCGTTGCTCAAGGAACCCCTAGCAACCTCTGAAGGAACCCTAGGGTTCCATGGTACCCTGATTGAGAAACTCTACATCCTAGGTGTCCAACCTAAGGCCTTAGGGCCACATGAAGCCTTTGGTATTTGTTGTTTGGCCTTTGCACTCCAGTAGTCTGTGAGAGAATGTAGACTTACGCGAGGCTAGTAGAGATCACTACTATTATTTCGAAAGCAATGCTTCAACTCCCACTACGGTTTTCTGCAGTGTGTCACCAGGCTCTAAGCACATCTGAAACCTGTCTAAAGTCTGTGACCATTATTTCTTTTAGTATTTCCGCAGTCTCTGACAATCCTCTCTACTAATACATGCACTGAAAATGATGGACAGCCCTTTGGTGATGTCAGGGGCCACCTCATAAGTTGAAAATCGCCACTCCAAGTACAACTCTATGGGTCAGGTCTATGTAAAAAAACAAAAAAAACAAAAAAAAAAAAAAACCACACAAAAACTATAGATGTTACATAAGGCTAATCAAGCTTATGATAATAACCACATCCCCAGATAAAAACATATTACTAAATCTATAGAGGAACACAATGATTGGAATATACAGAAAAGCCAGCCATACATGATCGAAATTTGGCCGATTCAGCAGAAAAACCTCGATCCATATATGGGCAAGCTGGTCGTCAATCTATCAATTGACTTGTCTACAACCACCCTGTCGGCAGGGAAGGATTCCTGCTGTCAGAATACAATATCACATCAGGTAGGATTGGCTCTTTTTTTTTCGTTCAACACATTGGTTGAATGAAAAAAAATAATTAAACCTATATGGCCTGCTTAAGTTAAATGTATGCTTACTATAAATATTCTATAGGTGTGTGAACCCACAATATATATTTTTCAGTATGTTTGGCATCATAGCTCTCTATATACAGTTTTCTTAAGCAAATTTTTATTTTGTAATACTGTTGTGAAGTTTCTTTCCTGGAGATCCTCTCCAAAACAGACAACACTAAGCTGCTAGGTCAGAGCAGCACAGAAAAAGATTTGCTTTAAAAAAAACAATGTGTGTGTGTGTGTGTGTGTATGTATATATATATATATATATATATATATATATATATATATATATATATATATATACATACACACACACACATATATATATACACACACACACACACATATACATATATATACACACACTCACACTTACAGATGCATGCCCTTGATATAGAAGAGGCATAAAAAAAAAAAAAAAACTTTATCCACTAGCAGACAGACCTGTAGTGCTCCTCCTGATCTACACCAGTTCTGTCCCCACTAGGCTGTACAGACTTCTATGGGTTGCCAACAACTAGTCTACAAGCTAATAAATGGACAGCCCACAGAATTGTTGGCCTTGCCAACTGGAAAAGATGGACACAGACGGCATACAATGTCAGATGCAGATTTTACATAGCTATAGTGGCCATCTAAGCTGCTCAATATCCAATTGGATATCTACAGGATGTGCAAAGTCTTCTACAACCTGAGCATTTCACGAGAACAGAAGATTGCAATTTCCTGGCATTGGATCACTTCATTACTTTCTCTTCAGGTCACATGAACTCCAGTAAGTACTCAATCCAAATTTTTTAGCCCACACATATAAAAGTTCCTTTTTGAGCTGGGGAGTTTATGGAAAATGTTCAACTAAAATGGTTGGTTTATGCACAGTTTGCAGACATATTGGTTCAGGTCTTTCGTGACACTTAGAAGAAAACAAAATGACACATTACGCAGAGGAAGAGTTTAACGTACATTTTCATCAAAGTCCATAAAGTTGGAAACTACTTTTATGTTTGGGTAGTAGACTCCAGCTTGACGTATTGCTTCTTCTAATACATCCCCAAGTCCTGCTGAAAAAATGAACACTGGTATGTTGTGTTCATGTAGCTTGTCAAAAAATGTTTCATAACCTTCCCTGCAAGATAAAAGAAAATGGACATTATATATTGTGCAGACATGGCTTTAAAAATGAGAGTGCATCCAGAAAGTATTCACAGCGCTTAACTTTACAGCCTTACTCCAAAATGGATTAAATTCATTTTTTTCCCTCAACATTCTACAAACAATACCCCATAATGACAACATGAAAGAAGTTAGTTTTGAAATCTTTGTAATTTATTAAAAATAAAAAACCACATGTACATAAGTATTCACAGCCTCTGCTCAATTACTTTGTTGAAGCACCTTTAGCACCAATTACAGCCTCAAGTCGTTTTAGAGTATGATTCTACAAGCTTGGCACACCTATTTTTGGGCAATTAGTACATCAATAAATGAATAGGACAATATCCTGTATAAAGTAATCATTTAATTAATAGGTCATCAAGTATAAAACTGAAGGAGTGGAGATACTGTCAACTTTAACCAGATCATCCACCCGTTTTCAGTGTAAATATAAAATAGGTACAAACAACTGATTAGTTGCATCAAGTGAATGTAAAGGACACTCTGCTATCATATTGTAATGTGTGTTGTCACATTTAGCAACAATCATCAGTAACTTACATAAACAATACATACAATAATAAAAATGGTGCTTACTTGAGCATAATGTCAGATTCCCTTACAACTTCTGTCAGTTTGTCCTTCTGGAAAGCCTGTTCAATCAATAGTGCGTGTGATTTTGTATACCTGTAAAAATAAAAAGTTATATAGAGTGAAAAAAAGAAAATGTTATTCTACAACTAGACAGGGAAATTCATAGCAAGAGGGCAATTCCCTAAATGTTGACACTACAAAATAGGAATTCCTCAGCATTTACCCTTGCAAGCTAGCAATGCAGACCTCATTAATCTGTTTCTAATGTTTGATAAAAAGCAGAGATCTCAGCAGAGTTTATTTAAAAATACTGTATATGTAATGCCACACACCATGGCAGGAGTCTCTGTATAGCAGGGTTTGTAATCCCTCTTGGGGGCATGAAACTGGATCTCAGAATAAATTTAAATAAACTGAAATTAGATTCTCTGCATTAAAGTGGAATTCCAACTTAACCCTAACTACGTTTGAAACGGTCCCCCCCTCCTAACACCTATATTAACGAACTTGTGTACGAAAGATGTATGTACTTACCTATTTTCAGCCCACTCGGGTCCAGTCACATGATCTCCCCTGTGTCAGCCAGCCGCGCTGCAGGGGAGAGGAGAGAGCGCTCTAACAGTGACTAGTAAAACGTGAAGCTGTGATGTCACCCACAGGCTTCAATAGCCCATCCATTTTCAGTGCTACCATCTCTCACCTGCAGCTGCCTGGCTGACTGACACAGGGGAGCCGGATTATGTGACTGGACTGTAGGTAAGAATATACATCTTTCGTACACAGGTGTTAGGAGGGGAGAGGGGACAGTTTTAAAAGTAGTGAGGGTTAAGCTGGAATTCCACTGAACCTGAAATCAAAGTGGAGGAATCAGCTTGATGTGTCAGATGCATGTGAGTACATAATCATAACTACTTTAATTCCAGGTCTTAAGTACACAAAAACAAGAGCAAACATCTCACTGGTTGTTGCAAGCTTGCAGAGTTGTGAATTGTGATTTTTTTTTAATACATAAATAAATAAATGTGATAAACTCTTGTGTTATTTTATTTTTTTTTCCATTCCTAGCTATCAGTGTTTAAAGTAAAACCAAGTTCTCGACATCAATTCATGCTGGTACCCAATAGGACTGGTGCTGATGAGGATGGGTGAAGAGAGTATAGAGACATACAGGGCAAGATGTGGGAGGCTGTAAAATGTGGCAGAACCGAAACCCATAGAAGTAGCAACACTGAGCCCTGGTTCACACCAACGTGGTGCGGGAAACGCTGTGAATCCTGTGCATGGGGCACTGCATTGCAGTTGGATCACGTTCATGCGATCTGGTGCGGGGGTTAATTTAACCATTAGCCGCCCGGCCAATGGCCGTTTGGCGGCTTCAGAAGTGTCTCTCCACTCCGGGTGCACGCCATTTGGCGTGCTCCCGCACATGCGCCATTTGCGCTAATGCAGAGTGGCGCAGCAGTGCGATCTGTCACCGGCCGTGCACCTCGGACACGGCCGATGACAGATCCGAGTACCGGCTCCCGTTGCTGGTACCATGTGACCTGCTGTGACCAATCACAGCAGGTCACATGACAGTTGTATACAATGGATGGCTTCATTCATGATGCCATCCATTGTATAGTAGTGCCTAGCTGTGAATGGTCACAGCTAATCACATGCACATGTCATGTGATTAGCTGTGACCAAATCACAGCTAAGCACAAAAAAAAAAAAAAAAAAAAAAAAAAAAAAAAAAAAAGCTGAATGAATCGATTTCATTCAGGTAAATGCTTGCTTATAGCAAAGTAATTCTTTGCTATAAGCAAATTGTGTAAAAAAAAAAAAAAAAAAAAAATACTGATCACACTTCCCCAAAGTAGTACAATGTTACTATGGTAACATTGTACTACTTTGGTCATAGTAAAATATGAAAAAAAAAATCTTAAAAAAAATAAAAAAATAAATGTAATAAAAAATTAAATATAATAAAAAAAAAAAAAAATATATATATATATTTTTTTTTTCATACTGTCACCAGTCAGTGTCCCTGTTCACCGCCATGCCAGTTATATGATGACGCTGTACTGCACTGGTGACAGTATGTAAAAAAAAAATAGTGAAAATATTTTTTTAATTTTTTCATTTTCCGAAAAATTATGACAAAAAAATACAACTTCAAAAAACTCGCCATGCCTCTTATGAAGTACGTCGGACTGTCTACTCTGCAAAAAGGGGTCATTTGAGGGATATCTGTACTGTTCTGACATTCTTGGACCTCAAGAAATTAGATTGGCTGTCAGTACTTCATGATTGATCAATATTCAGATCTATACCATAGTTTGTGAACTCTATAACTTTCCTACAAACTAAAAAATACATCCTAATTTGGGTTATTTTCACCAAAGACATGTAGCAGAATACATCTTGGCCTAAATTTATGAAGAACAATTATTTATTTGTAAACTTTTATAACAGAAACAAAGAAAAATGTTTTTTTTTTTAAATTTTTGGTCTTTTTTTGTTAATTTAGCAAAAAATAAAAACCCCAGCGGTGATTAAATACCACCAAAAGAAAGCTCTAGTTGTGTGAAGAAAATGATAAAATTTTAGTTTGGGTACAGTGTTGTATGACCGCGCAATTGTCATTCAAAGTGTGAGAGCGCTGAAACCTGAAAAATGGCCTGGGCAGGAAGGTGTAAAATTGCACGGTATTGAAACAGTTAATGACACCCTGAAACAGATCGCAAAACGTGATGCAATTGCCAGAAATCACATCACATGGGTGAGAACACACCCATGCTATGTGATTCAGGTGCGGATTTAAAAGGAGTGTCCTACACCTTTCTGGTGAGGATGCAATGCAATTTGAGCCATACAAAATGTATGGCTCAAATTGCACCACACAGACATTTGCGCATTCTTGTGAGATTCCTGTGTGAAATACATGCAGTGACTCCCACCGCATAGTGTGAACTCGTGCTGAGGCACATGAATAAACGTAAAAATATTGATATTAAAATGTGAATATGCAATCATAGAATCTCAACTGAGGAAACAGCTCTAGGATTGCAAGGTAATGTCTTATGATACATTAAAGTGTTACTAAACCCCCAATAGTAAAATCAGTCTGTATATGCAGTGAAGCATGCTTGTTATACTCACTGCAGGAACCTAAGGGGTTAATCCTCTGCATTGTGTAAAAATGCTGTTTGATCCTGACTTCTCTGATCCTCCCCTTCTTCCAGTATCTCCCTTTTATCTCCTGATAAGGCATATTGTGAGGAGACACTCTGAACATGCTTAGTTTGGTGTGTATAGCTAGAGAAGTTTTTTTTTTTTTTTATCTTGGGAGAGTGCATGTGATCAGCACAGGGCCAATCAGCACTGTCCAGACAGAGGTCCTGTATCCTCCTAGAGCAGAAAGAAAACTACTCCTACAAGCTGTAACCAGTGCTCTGCTGAACACTGATAGAAGTCACAAGACTGCTATATACTGCTGATGAGAACAGTTTCGATTTACAAAAACAATTGCATTTCCATGTTGTGTGTACTGTGGGAGACCAGATATAGTGAATTCTGGGTCCTGGGTTTAGTAACACTTTAAGTTCTGAATCCTATGTTTTTAAACAAAATATCTCACAAACAGCATACACAATTTAGTAATATCTTAATCTAGCATTTTCTATTACCTGGAAAATATTTGTCCTATGAAATACGAATAATTCATCAGAACGTTCAAGAAGTTTTTATTTCAGTAAAATAAATATTTATCTACCTAATAACTTAAAAAAGTAATAAACCATTTATGATATGTGGCCATTGGAAAAGCAAAGCTAAACGTCAGATGGTTTCTTGGTTCATAAAATCAAAGGAACATGTAAAAGATCTCTTCTAAAAGTAACACTTATGCTAGTCATTTGAGAGAAGTAATTTTAAGGGGCATGTAAAGAGTACAAATGTAGAAGCACTGATTTGTGGGGCTGTAATAGCAGTAATCTCTAGCAGTCTCATGTAATGTGTTTCCTGACTGCTTGTCCCCAGCCTCCAATAGCAGTAATCTCTAGCAGTCTCATGTAATGTGTCTCCTGACTGCTTGTCCCCAGCCTCCAATAGCAGTAATCTCTAGCAGTCTCATGTAATGTGTCTCCTGACTGCTTGTCCCCAGCCTCCAATAGCAGTAATCTCTAGCAGTCTCATGTAATGTGTCTCCTGACTGCTTGTCCCCAGCCTCCAATAGCAGTAATCTCTAGCAGTCTCATGTAATGTGTCTCCTGACTGCTTGTCCCCAGCCTCCAATAGCAGTAATCTCTAGCAGTCTCATGTAATGTGTCTCCTGACTGCTTGTCCCCAGCCTCCAATAGCAGTAATCTCTAGCAGTAGTCAGTCTCATGTAATGTGTCTCCTGACTGCTTGTCCCCAGCCTCCAATAGCAGTAATCTCTAGCAGTCTCATGTAATGTGTCTCCTGACTGCTTGTCCCCAGCCTCCAATAGCAGTAATCTCTAGCAGTCTCATGTAATGTGTCTCCTGACTGCTTGTCCCCAGCCTCCAATAGCAGTAATCTCTAGCAGTCTCATGTAATGTGTCTCCTGACTGCTTGTCCCCAGCCTCCAATAGCAGTAATCTCTAGCAGTCTCATGTAATGTGTCTCCTGACTGCTTGTCCCCAGCCTCCAATAGCAGTAATCTCTAGCAGTCTCATGTAATGTGTCTCCTGACTGCTTGTCCCCAGCCTCCAACAACTACCATGTCTACATTCTCTGACATTCCCCAGCAGCATATCTGCAGTCTCAGACAATCTCTTGCAGCCTTCCTGTAGTCTTTGTACATTTTATGTTGCAGGTCTGCAGTTTCTGACAGCTTTTTAGAACAATACATTTATTGAATGCCATGTGTGGCGCTTTGGTGATGTATGAGACCACACTTAGGCCCCCAATATCAAGAAAGATGACCACCACTGCGGTAAGTTTTTTTTACAGGTTTCATATAAGTCAGAATAGCCCAACTAGTGCTCATGGTTACTCTAAAAGGAGCCAAATCTCTAACATGTAGATAATGAGGTATTTTTAATAATGTGAATAAATCAAACTAATTTGAGGTTTCACAGTAATCTATATTAGTGAATAGGAATGCGGCCAAAACATATCGGTTGAACATAATCCTAGGAGAAGGAAAAAGTGAGCCGATACAGGTGCCGATAACGAGAGACCTGGGCCCCAATGAAGGCCAGACAGTCTATTTGACAGGGGTTTTTTTTTGGGGGGGGGGGGGGGGGGGGAAGGCAGGAGAGGACCAGTGTATACAGGGAGGGAGCAGTGTATACAGACAGACTCACTCACTGCCCAGTGCTAAATGTCATTGCTGGTTTTTAAATGCAATTGCTGGCATTGTTTCCCTTCACTTTATAGCTCCGAGAAGTAGCTGTCATTCACCAAGCCACTAAAGTAGCTGGTTCATACAATAGAAACACAGTTCAGATGCATTCCAGATGTGTTTGCGCATGCGTGTTTTTGACATGTTCCAGTGCGTTTTTTTTGCATTCCAGGGCCGACTCACACCGTAAAAACGTAGTTCAGATGTGTTCCGGATGAGTTTCCACATGCACATTTTTTATGTGTTTTTGACACGTTCCGGAGTGTTTTTGATGCGTTCCAGTGCATTTTCAGTACAGTTCTGTGCAGGAAAAATGCAGCCTGTTCTTACTTTTTTTTTTTAATTTTCTGCAACCGGAAGACACTGGAACTGCAAGCACTGATGTGAACTATGACATTGACAACCATATAACCTACTTTCTCTGCGTTTTGGATGCAGAAAAAAAGCAACTAAAATGCATACAGTGTGAACTGGCCCTAAATCTCACCACCATCTTTACTAGGTTTTACTCATCAACAATAACTTTCTTTTCGCTCTTTCCAAATTTTCTGACCCTTCCCCTTTTCACCTCTGTGTAAAAACACACACCTCTTAGACACTTGCAGCAACATCCCTTATCATGAGCTCCGCCACCTAGGACACATTTCTAGCACACTTTCTAGGTCACCTTCGCACATATCGCATTATACTTCACTTCTATCCAGGATCTGGTAAACTTGTAAAGTACACCCTGACCCATTCAATGTTATGCTGACTGTATATGAATGTTCTTTTGCACTATTCAGAAATGTGATGTACTTTTGTTTTGCTATATGCTGCATATAGTTGATGACTCTGTACCTCAATTGTACTCATGTACATGTTCACTCATTGTTAAAGAAAGACTTACCATTCAATCATGTATGGATATTTTTCTTTAATTGTAAGGTCTGGATCAATTTCAATTGCATAGTATTTGTCTTTAAGTTGATGCAACTGAAAGAAGAACACAACAGAGTACATAGTTATTTACCAACAGACATTGAGAACTTTGGAACTTGTCTTACATATAAGTGGGGAGACTGACAAAACAACTGCCACGTGTCTGAATCATTTATACCAAGAACTTCATTGTCTGCAATAAAGGAAGAATGTTTAACTTCCTTCGACCAAGATGGAGGAAAGCATAAAAAATATAACTGCAGAGTTTAACTACGGTTTTGTGTGTAACATATCAAGTGACAGTGACCTACTGACACTGCACTTGCTGGTGGGGAAAGGGGGGGGGGGGGGGGGGGGGGGGGGGGGGTAAGTGTAGAGGCTAAATGCAGGTGCTGGCAGGTTGCGGGGGCTGATCCCGCTAACGCTGCATTTTATACTATACTAATGTGAACGCTGGTATAGTGCTGATCTGATCAAAAGATATTGATCCATTCAGACACTATACTAGCAATGGAGGTTTATTGTGTATGAGCGTATTCCTGGTAATCAAGGGGTTAAATGTGATGACTGGTGTACTGAAGGGCAATCTGACACTATCTGGAAGGGATGTGAAAACCATGGGAGTGCGAATGACATATATACACACGTGATTTTGCGCACCTGTACCGTCCTGTAGCAGTATTTGTGCTATAGGGCAGTCAGGAAGCGGTTACAGAAGTTTGTGAGAGGAGTGTTTCACTAGGGGGTGTGCTTCACTGTAACACACTGATCTAGAAGGCTGTGCTCAGCAATCCGGATCACTGTGCTCAAACTGACAGGGAGAAGAGCTGCATTGAAAACAATGCAGCCTTGCTCCCTGTCAGTGTTTGCCGGTAATCGCCAGGCTCCGGCAGGTAATCACCGGCCGGGAACCGGTGACTGACACCCGAGGCAGCAAACTGGCAGCACTGATAGGGTGGGCGCGCGCCCCCCTACCCGAAATGCAAAATCACACACACACACACACACACACACACACACACACACACACATATATAATATATACATACACGGCCGATGACAGATCTGAGTACCAGCCCTGTTGCCGGTACCATGTGACCTGCTGTGACCAATCACAAGTGTAGCTAGCTGTGAATGGTCACAGCGATCACATGCACAAGCTGCCAATCACAGCCCAGCTGTGTCATGTGATTAGCCCAAACCACAGTTAAGAAAAAAAAAATCCTGAATGAATCGATTTCATTTAGGTAAATGCTTGCTTATAGCAAAGTAATTCTTTGCTATAAGCAAATTGTGTAAAAAAAAAAAAAAAAAAATATATATATATATATATATATATATATCACTTACCCAAAGTAGTACAATGTCACTATGGTAACATTATACTACTTTGGTCATAGTGAAATATGAAAAAAAATCTTAAAAAATGAGAAAAATATGTAATAATTTTTTTATTTTATTTTTTTTAATTTATCAATTTTTTTTTCCGTACTGTCACCAGTCAGTGTCACCGCCATGCCAGTTATATGATGACACTGTACTGCACTGGTGACAGTATGTAAAAAAGAAAAAATTGTGAAAATCATTTTTTTTATTTCTTCATTTCCGAAAAATGACAAAAAAATTACAACTTCAAAAAACTCGCCATGCCTGTTATGAAATACATCGGACTGTCTACTTTGCAAAAGGGGTCATTTGGGGGATATCTGTACTGTTCTGACATTCTTGGACCTCAAGAAATGAGATTGGCTGTCAGTACTTCAGGACTGATCAATTTTCAGATATATCCCATAGTTTGTGAACTCTATAACTTTCCTACAGACTAAATAATAAATACTGATTTGGGTTATTTTCACCAAAGACATGTAGTAGAATACATTTTGGCCTAAATTTATGAAGAAGAATTTATTTGCAAACTTTTATAACAAAAACAAAGAAAAACGTGTTTTTTTTTTCAAAATTTTTTGGTCTTTTTTGTTAATTTAGCAAAAAATAAAAACCCCAGTGGTGATTAAATACCACCAAAAGAAAGCTCTAGTTGTGTGAAGAAAATGATAAAATTTTAGTTTGGGTACAATGTTGTATGACCGCGCAATTGTCATTCAAAGTGTGAGAGCGCTGAAACCTGAAAATTGGCTGGGCAGGAAGGGGGTAAAAGTGCCCTGTATGGAAGTGGTTAACTATGGGGTTTGACGACCCCCCCCAAACTGTAAATGTAAAATGAACGCTTACTGTTCTTGGCCCCCTGTAAGGCTGCTTTCACACTGATGTGCTGCAGCTTACCTGCACTGTGGTTGCAGTGCAGTGTATCTGCGTCTTTCCTAGGTTAGCTGCGCTTTGCCATAGACTTCTATTATATCCTGCAGGTATGGTGAACTTTCTGAAAGCGCACCAAAACTCCTGCATTCAGGATATAATAGAAGTCTACGGCTAAGCACAGCAGACCCCCAGGAAATCTGCAGGTACACTGCACTGCACCCATGGTGTGAATAAATCGCAGCACATCAGTGTGAAAACAGTCCTTTACTATTATGCCCAGTGTATTGCTTCACACTGACCTGAAGATCTCTTCTTTCCTGCTGCTGGCATCATTCTGTTCACTGCTAGCCAGGATAAGAGGTGGAGTGCAGTTGGTATGACTCTGCACTGGACAGGAGCCAGCACTACAGAGGAGGCATCGGCTTATGCGGCACTTGCTCCCTACTACAGCTCCAACTTTACAAGTAGTCCCCCTGCATTGAACTCTGTTTGATGCTCTGGGATGGCAGGCCAGCAAGCCCAGACCGCGATCTACCAGTCACCTGATCACAATCCCATTCCGGGAATTACTTGTCACACCTTTTATGTATTATATGTTATGTACACACATGGTATCTGTGATGGGTGACATGCATTATATGATGTAATATAGCACAGATCAGCATTTCTCAACTTTTTTTTTTATTGACAAGGCACCCTTTAAAATTCTGCACAATCTTGAGGCACCCCATTCTAAAACGTAAAAAACTATACTAATTGTTTGACATATCACAGCAACATCCACACATATAGGTCACCCAACATTGGAGGCGATTTATTCTTCCAAAGAAGATACACCTTTGCACACTGGTACTGATTAACATTCCAGTGTTTCCCTTCTCTGTCAGTTTCTCTCCTTCACTCAGCTAACGTGACCCCTGTGTTGATGGAGGGGGGCACACAAGGATGCCGTGGAGGCATCTCACATCCTAAAGCTGATGACATCATTGGTTGTTAGGACACCGGTGGCTAGAAGGTTGTAATGGTACACAATGAAAACCTGTGGCTTTGTATAACTAAAAGGCAGGCTTGATCCACCCACTGGCTTGTATACAACGGTTGGGCAATTTTTAGGCATTTTACTTGGGTACTCTGTTTGAAAAAGGCTGAACTATGCTACTGTTGTTGGCTCTCTGCAGCTTCATGATGCAATATACGTAACACTGTTTAACCCCTTGGCGCAGTCACCTCCCAGCCCCCTAAGGGTTTCAGAAGTCGGGAGGTGGGGCGGGGTTTAGGGTCATGTGACCGCCGTGATACTCCATCACGGTGGTCACATGATCGGGAAAGGTCCCGATCGAAAGAGGAGATCGGGACCTTTCCGTGAGTACCGGACGTGTGCTGTGAGCGTGCAGAGCGACCAATCAGATATATATCTACACTGGAAAATGACTGAGAACTAGAGTAGGAACAGCTGTTGCTTACTACATTGCATGTCAGAAATATGCGACATAAGGTCTTATGCTTGTCAGTATCAGGCGTACATACCTTTTTTCGACATTCGTCAGATATGTATTTGCAGTTATCAATAACATCTGTGGAATGAAAATAAACAAATAAATAAATAAATGCACTGTACCGGAAACAAAATAAGGTGGTTGATTCTCTAGGTCAGGGGTATTGAATTAAAATTCACCGAGGTGTGGGCAGTAACATTTTCATCCATCAGAGGTCCGAATCTCATGTAAGCCCCTGTGGTGCATTTTCGTGTGCACCAAACCACGTGTTGCTGCTGTGCAATTTTGAAGAAAAAAAAAAAAGCGCGTCGGGGACTTCTTAGTGTTTCTCACGGGTAGTGCGGACCATTAAAATGAATGGGCTGACCTACCCACGACGTGTGCACCAAATGCACATCAGAGTCCTCAATTCCCACTGCACATCACAGTCCCCTCCTCATTCACAGCAAGATCCCTTCTTGATGAGTGTCCTCAGTTCCCCCTTTACATCACCGCCCTCCACCCCTTTCACACTTCCTTTATACATCATCCCCCCACATTACTGTCCTCAGCCCCCCCCCCCCCCCACTGTAATGTCCTCAGCTGCCCCAGTATTACTGTCTGCGGCCCCACATTACAGTTCTGAGCTCCCCCCTGCTTTAATGTCCTCACACACACGCAGACCTTATCCCCCCACATTACTGTCCTCAGTCCCACCGCACGCACGCACACGCACACACACACACACTTTAATGCTCTCAGCCCCCCCCCCACATTTCAATTCTCAACTCCTCCACTTCAATTTTAATGTCCTCCCCTCACACTACTGTCCTCAGTCCCCCAACATTACTGTTCTAAGCCCCCCCTTACATTTAGTCCTCAGTCCCCCCCACATTCAGAGCTCACCTCCTTTTCACATCAATCCCTCTTCACTCTAATGTTCTTAGCCCCTTTAACTTTGCCACCCCCCCACACACACACTCCTACCTTACACAGACAGCGAGTTGTTGCTAAGACTGCCCTTCATCCTAGCAACCAATCAGCTGCTTGTTAACCTCAGGCAGCTCCCACTCTCCATCCAGAACTGTCCTGTCTCGCGCTGTCAGCTCTGTGAGGATGACCGCAAGACGGCTCGGGGAAGAAAAGGCTCCTAGATGGTGGGACTGGATGGGTCTGGCTGGGATAGTGATTCGATCCACATTTAATGATGCCTGCTCTAGGTGATCGCTGTGTACCCAGCTGTTAAATTACTCTGAGAGACACTGTACCCAGCCGATCCGAGGGGCTGGGCACCATGTGATCACGGTCATTTTACTGAGCACTATTTACAGGGGCAGAAGAGAGATCAATACCTTTGAATGGGCACAAAGAATGGATCTTTTTTTCCAAACTTTTTGCCCCCCACCAAACACCTAATAGCACCAATGCTTTCTCCATGTGACCTGTAAGCCCCTCACCTTACCCTGCCCATTTGACCCGTCCTGCCACTGTGGGTGTAGTTTTTAGTGTCAGTAAAGTGCTTTTCTGCGCAGAGATTTTAATACTGAAAACAAGTAACAGTAAACTGTGTTTGATCTCTAAACTATTCCTAAGACTAGATCTATTACAATGATTGCATTGTAATAGATCTGTTCTTGGGAGTAGTTTGGAGATCAAACGCAGTTTTGCCTATTGGGACCTGTGCCTAGGGACCGTAGGGACAAAGAGGTGACTTTTTCCTGTATAGCTACTAGCCACACAGTTTTCTACTATCAGCAGGAGTAAAGTAACCTTATATCAGTATATTTACATGACAATTTACGATATGTTAAAAGGATAAGTTCAATTTTAACAAAAAATATTTAAAAAGGCACATTTTTTTTTGCAGGTAAAAAAAACTGCATTTACTATTTTTTGTCTTGGTAGTCTGAAAGCATTGCACTAACGATCAGCAGATCACTGGTGCCACGCAGGACTCCTGCAGACCTGTCAGTGTATCTGTGTGCTCATACAGGGAAGCAGGTACGCACTGACAGGAAGAATCAATGAACTACCACAGCAGTCAACTGCAGCGTGGTAGAACATTAAGACCTACAAGCTGACAGCCGCAAAAGCTGTCGGAACTCGTAGTTTCTCATTCACAGAAAACTGTGAATAGTTTTTTTTAAATTGTGACAGCAAGGGAGGGGAAAAAAGCCCCCACTAGCTGTCACAACAGGGGATCGAGGGGGAGTGGGGGCTGGTCCTTTTCGTAACATGTTACACCATGAATATGGGTGTAACATGTAGCATGTTAGGAAAGGTGAACTTTTCCTTTACCCCCGGTCACATCAAAGCCGATTTTGAAATTGTGTGACTTACAGTGAAGTTGCACGATTTAAAAATCGGGTGACCTGCCGATTTCATTGCAATTTGCAAGACTTCTAACACAGATGTGTATGCAAATCGCAACAAAAGTAGTGCATGTACTACTTTAGAAATCGGTGCAACTCCGACCAAGTCGGAACCACACCGATATGACAGCTCTAACCCCCTGGTCACATCAAAGCCAATTTTATTGCGATTTGCAAGACATCTGACACAGATGTCTATGCAAATCGCAACACAAGTAGTGCATGCACTACTTTAGAAATCCGTGCGTCTACGACCCAAGTCGGAACCGCACCAATATGACCGATCAAAAGTGGGTGACCTGCCAATTTCTTTGCAATTTGCAAGACATCTGACACCGATGTCTATGCAAATCGCAACAAAAGTAGTGCATGCACTACTTTAGAAATCGTTGCAACTAAAGCCAGTTCAATGGTGATTAATAGGAATAGGAAAATGCCATTTAAATTGGTGGTCAGTGAAAAGAATACAACTTTTAGTGGTGGCAAAGGAGGGGCCTACTTACTGTGTTATTAAACAGCTTACTTTAACAGAATACATTACAGGGATGTTGAATTTGTATCGCCTTACACCCGGGTCATGTAGTTCCGGGCGCCAGGCAGGTAGTTTTTTTTTATCCTTCAGCCCAGCTACAGGCAAGAAGCAGGGCTCACCTGTCAGGTGGAAGTATTCGGGTGGCAGCGCTGCCATCGATTGCTTCCACACAGTGCCAGCCTCCGTTCCCCCCCTGCATGAACCACCCACTGTCTCCCTGGCTCTGGTTGCCCATCTGCGGGCCTGGGACCGGCTCACCGCCATTGGCTGGAGGGAAGGGAGGAGACGGAGACATCTGCTCCCCTCCCCTTCTTGTCCTGATCCGGAAGTGACGTTATGATGTCACTTCTGGGTCCCTATTCAAAGATTTCCTGGCCATCGAGGCTTGGAAAGAATGTAATGCAATGCAATGTTCACTGCATTACATTCAGGGAGACATCCAGGGTGTTTTTAGACCCTGGATGTCTCAATAAAGAGAACTTGTCATCAAAAATCATCACATAGGGGACTTTGTCCCCTATGTGATGAAAAAAAACAATAAAGTTTAAAAAAAAAATAAAAGTTATTTTGTTTTCTTTAATTGTAAAGTTACACCCAAGCACATAAACACCCCCCCCCCAAAAAAAAATAAGGCCCCCCCACATATACACACACGTACAAATGTAATAGCACACGATGGGGCGCCTACGCATGAAAACAATGAATGAAACTGAAAGAAATAATTCTAGCATGAGACCTCCTCCGTAACATTATATTGATGACCTATAAGGGGCTAGAAAAGTGTCACCTATAGAAAATACAGGGTACTGAAGTTTGCCGCAATGTCACAAGCGCACACAAATTTAAGGTTTGACAAGTTGGATATCTATTTACTCGACGTAAAGTCATCTTTTATATTTTACAAAAAAATAGGGTAATTTATTGCTTTTTTGTGCCCTAAAATTAACTTGCTTGTATGTTTTATTAAAATTTTATGGTAATATCATGCAACATAAAAAATTGGAACTGCCACTATTTTATTCTCTATGGTCTCTGCTTTCAGAAAATATATAATGTTTGGGGGGTTTGTGTAATCTTCAGGTCTAAGCGTGTGCAAAAAACGCAAACAGCTCTGGATAAAGGATAAGCCCGACACTCCCCTTTCCTGACGAGCACCCAATCAGCGCTCATTACACTGAAAGGTCTCTCCCATTCCTACTAGTCCCCAGGTGCGGTGCTGGAGACAGGCAGGGAGGGGAGGAGGAGATAAACAGCGCAATGTTAAAATTATTACACGTTTAAGTTGCCATAAAGCCCCTTTTGATTTTAAAAGCCCCAGACATTTTTAAAATCACCTCCAATGTAAATACGGTTTTGGTTCAAATTAATTTTTTTATCTAGACAAGTAGATTGGGGCACTGATTTAGTCCCTGGACAAGCAGTTTTTTAAAAAATTTCCACACCTCTGTACAATCAAGTGGTAGCATTAGGACCAATAAAAACACTATACTGAATAGGTCTCAGCAGCTAGCACAAACCAGCAACTTTTTGGAGCATTTTTGGAGCAACAAGTTCGCTGAGCAGATTCCCAGCTAAGCTCAGCATTTGTCTGTTTACTAATAATAAATAATTGCGAGCGCACTAAAAGCTACTACGCACTAAAGTAACCAATAAACCTCAAACAGACAAAATATGATAACGTGCAGCGCTATAAATAAGTACAAGAAAAAAATCACTGTATAAAAAAACACTGTATAAATAGTTCATATAATGACTGGTAACGTGAACGGGAATTCTGTATTCATCTAGAACTTGGTGCTTGTGCAGTCAAAAATGAGAAGAATGCGCACTCAACAGAGCGCATAATGAAATGCGCATTTGTGCGTAAATATCCTGATGTCATCAAGGTCATCCAGGTCAGGACAGGAATGAAATGAAACCCCTCACTGTGTAGGCCTGGGTCCTGAAGCATCTGGTGTGTACTGGAAGGATACCGGAGGTCCCTTTAAGGAATGGACAGGGCAGCTCACCAAGGTGTATAGGGCTCCCTCTCTGGGTCCTGGGTACGTGACGTCATGGCGTTATTGGCTCCTCCTACATGTTTCGTGCAACACGCACGTCGTCTGGGGGAAACATCAATAACGCCAAGCCGTGCGCCGTTGATTTATATAGGCAATGGCACATGCGTATTCAGCAGGCGCCATTTTCCTGGAGAGCTCCGGCGGCCATCTTTATACCAGGACGGTTAGTGCAAGTTACACAGATGCTTATTATTTCACCTGGATACTTGCTTTTATCTGGATGCTGTTTTCACCAATAAAATAATCTTACTACACTATGGAGTTCTCTCTGCTTTAACTCCCCTGGGAAGGATTGCTTTGCAGATACCCAGGACCCAGAGAGGGAGCCCTATACACCTTGGTGAGCTGCCCTGTCCATCCCTTAAAAGGAACCTCCAGTATCCTTCCAGTACACACCAGATGCTTCAGGACCCAGGCCTACACAGTGAGGGGTTTCATTTCATTCCTGTCCAAACCTGGATGACCTTGATGACATCAGGATATTTACACACAAATGCGCATTTCATTATGCGCTCTGGTGAGTGCACATTCTTCTCATTTTTGACTGCACAAGCACCAAATTCTAGATGAATACAGGATTCCTGTTCACGTTACCAGTCATTATATGAACTATTTATACAGTGTTTTTATACAGTGATTTGTCTGTTTACTGGCTGTTTTACCAATAGTGTGCTTTTGTTTAAGGTCCTTTTTAAGACAACTTTTTTACGTGCAACATGGCCTTGATTTACTAAGTTTATTAAAATGTATTGCAAATATATTTACAGCCCATATTTTATTGTATAGTCACTGCATGGATGAGATGAAATGTGCAGTACTTACTATGGCATGTGGGACATCTCTTTCCATTATGGAAAAATCGGCTCAAGGTCATATCAAAATCTGTTATGATCTGAAAAAAAAAAACACATTACATGCTTTATTCTTACCATTTTCTGCTAAAAGGCTGAGTTTCATGCTGAAAAGATCTATCATAAATCAAAGTAGTCTTGTGATTCTACTTCTGTTTTACACTAGTGCAATAAGGCAATTGAAATAAACAAAAATAAAAAATCCAGTCAGCAGCATCCAATAGTTTGCAACTCTCATGATAACTTTGGTAAGAAGACAAGTCATCTAGAAGGCATTCCAAGAATCACCTAAAGTTTGTAGCAATGCATACCTGAAGCCTAGTGGCACCTCCTTTTATTAGTCCACATATTATTTCTTCCACTTTTGCTGGGTCCTTTATATGGACTGTTTTCTTTTTGAAATTCTGGCATCTGTTAAAAACATAAATGAAAACGGCAAAACTATTAATTCAAGGTAAACTTTAACAGATACTAGGCAAATGTAACTGAGGCCTCGTTCACATCTGGCGTTTTGGGATCTCAGAATTGCTGCAATTCTGCCTGCGATCTCAAATAGCACTGCAATAGTAGCACAACGCAGTATGTGTGTTCGGGTGCCATTCATTTTTAATGGCACCTAAACACGGGGTGGTTCTGTTGCAATTGTCGTGCGATAAATCATGCTGCAATCTCGTCAAACTGTATCACGTGAAGACTGTTGCTCCTGCTCCTTTTTTGGGCAACAGGCTTTGCACGATTGCAGCACAACGACAGAGGAAGAACACCACATTAGTTAGGTGTCATTGAAAATGAATGGAACTGGAACATGAATGGTGCGTTTTGCCACTGTTGAAGGGCGATTTGAGATCGCAGGCAGAATTGCAGTGATTCTGCCTGAGATCCCAAAACGCCACATGTGAACCCAAAACGCCACACGCTACAAGTAGAGGAAATCAACTGAAGCAGCTTTACATAGTAACTAATCAACTTTTAACTCCAGCTTGTTCGGTTAGGCTACATTTACAGGGGTGGCTAGCCGCAGTGCAATGGCAGCAGTAAGAATCTGCTGAGAGTGGCTAGCTGCAGCCACCAAATCCATACCCTTAAATGACAAGTGTGCGTCCAGCAGCGATCACCACAGGTAATTGCTGGCTGTGTGAACAGCCACAGATAGTTGAGGGGCCGCTGCCGACATGTCATTAAAGTGTATGGGCTTGGTGGCTGCAGCTAGACATTCACAGGTGGCAAAAACATCCATTCGCACCATGGATAGTTGCCCATGCAAATGTAGCCTTAAGCTTTGTAAATAAAAGACAGAAGCGGAGTGGTTGCCATGCACAGCTGCTCCAGATTCTGGCTGCTGTAACCTTAAGCTGACCATACACCACGTTTTTATTTTTTCAGCCTGCAGAATAAACAAACCGATTCCTCCATCCATGCTATGTAGTGCAGATGGACACATCTCCTGTTGTGACTATTTTATTTTGACAGCCTGCACTCCAGCTGTCAAAATACCCAAACAGTGACTGCATTTGCTTGTGATTCTGCATAAAGTTAACGAACTTCAAGATCTTTCAGATTAATAGGAGTAGGATAGAAATAACTGAAATTCAATCTGGAAATGAATATACACTGTTCTGCCATAACATGACCAATGACAGGTAAAGTGAATAACATTGATTATCACCCTAAAATGGCATTGAAAAGTGGGTGGGTTAAATTAGGTAATAGCAAGCATAAAGATATGAGCGATATGAGCTGTGGGATGTTTCCCCATCTGCAGTGGTCAGGACCTACCAAAAGTGGAAGGAAAACTAGAAACTGGCTGTTGGGTCACTTTCATAATACCCCAGGGCTTAAATCTGCCATGACTTTTGTTTCTTTTCTGCTGAATCAGATCACTTTCTTGAGCTTGTGATACGAGAAGACACAGAACACAAGCATGCATTGTGTCACTCAGTATCAAACTTGATTCAGCACCTTAGATATTTTAATATATATATATATATATATATATATATATATATATATATATATATATACACACACACACACACACACACACACATATACAAACATCGGCCACTTTATTAGGTACATCTGTTCAATTGCTTGGCAATACAAATTGCTAATCAGCCAATCACATGCCAGCTTAATGCATTTAGGCATCTAGATGTGGTGAAGACGACTTGCTGAAGTTCAAACTGAGAATTCAGTGCCTTTGAAAGTGGCATGGCTGCTGGTGCCTGACAGGTTGGTCTGATTATTTAAAAAAACTGCTGATCTACTGAGATCTTCATGCACAACTATCTCTAGGGTTTACAGAGAATGGTCTGAAAAACAGAAAATATCCAGTGAGTGGCAGTTGTGTGGGTGAAAATGCCTTGTTGATGTCAGAGGAGAATGGGCAGACAGGTTGCTGCGACATTCAGATGGTAGGGTCGGAATTTGGCGTAAACAACATAAAAGCATGGATCCATCCTGCCTTGTATCAATGGTTCAGGCTGGTGGTGGTGGTGTAATAGTGTGGGGATATTTTCTTGGCACTAGCAAGGTGTAACTAATAAAGTGGGAGTATATAGTAAACATAGGGAGGTGGCTGAGGTGTAGCCAATCACAGGTTAACAACCACATACATAATGGAAACAAAACTAGCTGATAATGAAGTTTCATTTCTCAGAAATCACATTTTCTTGAAACTTGATCAGCAACTTATAGCGGGACTTCGGCGGGCATTCTAACACTGGGGGGGGGGACTGACTAACTGCCACTGACATCCCCAGTGACACTAATACAGTGATCAATGCTAATAAAAAGCACTGACACTGTACTAATGACACTGGTCAGGAAGGAGTTAACATGTGGGCAAAGGGTTAACTGTGTGCTGTTTTACGGTTTAAGCATGCTGGTTTGTATTGCTCTGCTATGCAGAGCAATACAAAGCAGTGTGCTGGGTGCTGACAGGAGAGAGATCTGTATTTACATACAGACCTCTCCTCTGTCACTGGGACAAGGTGATCGACAGCTGAAGCCGCCAACGGTGGCACGGGTAGGGTGGCACCCGTGCTCCCTACCCGGAAATCTAAAATCACGTATATATGCACGTTATTTTGCACAGCCGTGCCGCCCTATAGTGGTACGTCTGCTATAGGGCGGTCGGAAAGTGGTTAAATAGATACTCTAACTAAATATAGAAAAATAATACTAACATGAAATTCACTTTATCCCTTCACCTGTGACAGGATCATCGGTGGCCAAGGCTCATCAATACAAGTCTGATCCAATAGAAGAGCTACTGTAGGCCAAACTGCTGAAAAAAGTTTGTGCTGGTTCTGACAGGTGTCAGAACACAGAGTGTATCACAGTTTGTACTGTAAGGGCCTGCGTAGCTGCAGACCGGTCAAGTTGCCCATGCTGACCCAGTCCACAGCCAAAAGCACCTACAATGAGCTTGTGAGCATCAGAGCTGGACCACAGAACAATGGATGAAGGTGGCCTTGTGTGATTAAGTCAAATATGGTTTAAGGAAAACAAGGAGTTCAAGTCGTTGACTTGGCTTCCAAATTCTCCAGATCTCAATCCAATCGAGCATCTGTGGGATGTGCTGGAAGAAAAAGTCTGATCCATGGAGGCCTACCTTGCAACTCACAGGAGTTAAAGGATTTGTTACTGACGGCTTACTGACAGATACCACAGCATACCTACAGAGGTCTAGTGGAGTCCATGTTTCGATCAGGTGTATAATAACAAATCTTAATGGCTAATGCAGGCCATACATGGGTCAATTCTGAATTAATTTTCTTTCACAAATTGCAACTAAGAAATTTCTTTCAAATTTCACACGATTAGTGGGCCGCAGCATCGGCTGATCTTCATGTGGCCATCGAATACGAGTGAAATTTTTTGAAAAACGAACAAATGTCTAATCAATGTTCCACCCGCTCTGCCACAAGGGGGGGGGGGGGGGCAGGTCTGGAGCAGGTTACATGCTACACCCTAAATCTGGGTGTAGAATGCTCCAAGAAGTGAACTTATCTTTTAACCATAGATACGATTTAAAAGCTCACAGGGATATTATTGTTGCCATAAGGACGGTGCTTCACACACTTCTCTTTCTATGTTTGCTCTACTGTGGGCAAGGACACTGAACCTTCCTTACAGCCAGACTCCAGGCACAATTTTTTATTTTTTAGGGGGAAGAAAAAGACACAGCTTTGTCTAGAGTTCATGGATTGTAACTTTAACTGTATTTGCGATAGAATGAGTAACATATTCATGACACAACATTGCCAAAGCCATTAATAAGTCAGGAACCAATTTTAGCGTATGCGGACTATGGCGATAATCCACTTCCAACACACAATATTAACCTTGTGGTTAGCAGAGGGAACATACAAAATTGAGTACACAGATAATGAATTTTATTGTACAGCTGTAAATAAACTCTACCAACCCTTCATGTTGTAGCTAGGAACAAACTGTTCTATGGAGCTTAATATGCTAATAGGGCATACAGCAAACAATCAGAACATTCCAAACTGTACTCTCTGCTTCTCGCACAACCTCCTGCTCTGTAGCTCCCTTGTCTCCTCCTCTTATCCTCGTCTCCAGGACTTCTCCAGAGCTTCCCCCATCCTCTGGAACACTCTACCCCAATTTATCAGACTATCGCCTACTTTGCTCACTTTTAGGCGATCTCTGAAAACCTATCTCTACAGGGAACCCGATCCTGCCCTCAGCTAATAATGGAATCTTTTATTCCTCCTACCAGTCCATCCGCCAGTTATTACCTTTTGTACCATGAGCCCCTCCCTCTTGGATTGTAAGCTCCAAGGAGCAAACCCTCTTGTATTGAACTGTATTGTTGCTTTATTGTCTCCCGTTTTATATTGTAAAACGCTGAGCAAACTGTTGGTGCTATATAAATCCTGTATAATAATAATAATAATAATAATCAGAAGGCATGTTGCAGCAGTAGATGTGGCAATGTGTGCTGTCACCAATACGCAAATACCTCTCTGTTAGTGTGCTTTCGTTTGGTACTGCATATTTTCAAGTAACCTTTTGAAGGGGCAAATATTAATCAGACGGTGGTTCCATTTATCTTCTCATAAAACACTTCATTGACCACCATTAACAGTTTATGGACACAAACAGGGGCGGACTGACAATTCATGGGGCCCCCGGGCAATAGGGGATCATGGGGCCCCTGTGTCCTTGCCCTAACGCAAAAAAGCCTATGAAAAAGGTACCAGGGGCATCTTATGGGGCCCCCTACTGACCCCGGGCCCTTGGGCAGTGCCTGAGTTTCCAAATGGTCAGTCTGCCCCTGGACACTAAGCAGCAAAAGAAATGGATCTGTAAGTGATATGATAGTATCATCAGCAAAAAGGAGTAACTTTCTGTGTTCTGCTAGGGATTAAAAAACCTTAAATATCAGATT